GAATACTGCATTTTTGAAATAGGAGTCTGACATGATAGCAATATCTGAGTCCAAGACAGAATATTGTCAAGAATGTCAACAAATGAAATTAACGACTCCACCAAAGTCTTGCCATTATTCTGTGCTGTACAACTAAACTTATTTGTTCCAAGTACCTGTTTTGCTGTGAATGATCTAACATACTGTGGAAAACAATTTCTTTTATCCCAATCAAGAATTTGCATTAGAAATCCTAATAAACTGGTTACAGACAAACAAAAAAACAAATCAAAATGATTAGCAGATACACCACAACAAAATAGACATATCCCTGCCATATACTGACAACTCCTCATTATTATTTACTATCTGACAACCATTTGATTGGTTCTTAAATCCCATAAACACATGATATACTGATAAATAACAAATTCAGAAGACATTTAACTCTGATGGTCATTTAACGGGAATAGCTTAGTCATATTACTAGCATTGTAAAGTATCAGCTTGGAAACCTATTATCAAATAACTGTTAACCACTTTAATGACAAAAGTACAAGTTATTTCCGGATGTATTGTTACTTGTGGATAACATAATTCCTTAACAATCAAGTATCTATTCTAACATCAAATCTGAACAATAATTCATAAGCAAACTGGCAAAAAGAGATGCAAAGCTTTTGAAGAATGACTTTAGTGTTACCAACAGTTGTAAAATATAGACATGATGATGATGAAGAAACCATTCCCTGGTTGAATACTATATCCCTCTCACAGCACACCACTGGTATGTGCATTAAGCAAGGTAAGCTACCTATTGTGTACATGTGGCCTTGAACATTGAGAGAGCTAACAACAACATGTACTTTGTTTATGATTCATCCTGCTTGTGTTCTGTGTCCATGGTGAACTGTCTAGCATCACAGTTAATCATTCAACTTTCAAGGAAAATGTCAAGAATTCCTCATTATAGTTGCTTTTTAGATATGTGAAGCATTAAAAGGGAAAATATTGATTTTATTCAACATGCTGTTATCGTGGTTATAATGAAGTGTTTCTAAACTGACCCGTTTCACTGATCATGCTGTTTGAGGCCTATATTTAGATGAGCCGTTTCAGGGTTCAGAACAATGCTGATGATATTCAATAACAGCAGAACATTCATCATAATCATTCAAACAGCATACAAACAACATCATTCATCTGATATAAGTATTGTAGATCTGCAGTACATATATGAATCGTAACTTGATAAAGCCATTAACCTGATAAGAAAGATGATATACGAGACATATACATGTCAACAACTGTACTCAATACATCAGATGACGCTGCAGGAGGGACCTATGACTATAACAAACACCTTGGACCATGTTGATCTGTTTAACATGCCAACTTGTTGTTGTTTTTGTACTTACATCCTGTTTTCAGTGAGTGATCGCTTTGACATCTGACAACTGTACTTAAACGCATCAGAGATTGACATTTATTTCCAGAAATAAAGTTATCTTATTTGAAAACATGTATCTACAAATATATACACGTGCCCGGAACTATTATTATTTTCAGACTCTCTGCTTACAATTCTAGACTCGAGTTGGGCTCCTTTTTAATGTATTCTCTAGGTTCTGATAGACTGACTGACAATTTACATATCTTATTATCATGACAAATCAGTTTAATGTAAGAAAACCAAAGTGATTCAAATCTATAAAAAAGTATAATTTATCCATGTTTATCAAAGTCATGAAACACATGAGCAAAAGTGCAAAATCATTCAGAATTGTAAACAAACCAGCAGTGGAATTTTAACCTAAGATCACTGGATTCCAGCATGACTAAGCATACTTAGAGATGCTACTCTACAGAGCTAAAACTGGTAATAATTATTATTTATATGATAACCAACTACCATATGCACTAAAAACAATTTTTTCGGCCAATCTTTTAGCAAACCAAAACATTGCAAACTAATTGTATCATTATAATATTTTCAGATTCACTTAAATAATCAAGGACCTACACAAAGTAAATTGTTGGTCTTCAATACTGAGTACTTCAACAAGGCATACAATAGTTAGAGTGTTAACACTGCGGACCAAAATAGAACCAAATACCAAGCCCATGTTCATTACTGACAAGGACTTTATGCCTGTTTAGTTACTTCATACAATGCACCCATTGATCACAAAATCATGATGAGGAAATACTTAAGGTAAGGTTCTTTGTTGCAGAGACAACATTTTCTGATAAGGAACAGTTTTTATGTTTATATAGCAACTTATCATGTATATCATCCATACCTTAACATGCCCTGCAATTGCAAAGACCAATACCTGGTTTATGAACAATGGTTAAGGTAAATATGCTTGTTTCCGTACTGTTCACTTACCAGAAACTTATTGTATTCACTCAATACAGTTCATCCATGTAGATGAAAGGTTAGAGTCGTACTTCACAATAATGTCTTGTTTCCTCTTAAAGAAGTGTTGTTCATGTAGATTATATGTTGCAACATTTAATCTGATAATCATTTAATCACTCATGAATTGATCAGTGCACCATAACATACACAAAATATGTTCAAAATGCTGATAAGTCAGTATTTAATAACAGTCTTCTCTGGTAAAATTAGCATCAACATCATCATGTCGTCAATAATCACATCTCATAATAATCTAAGTCCCGTCATACATCTTGATGACTGTCCTGCAAAATATGCATGTTTTTAAGGAACCTCCTAATCATGTCAATATATTAACATGAGAAATGCAACAGGGTAATATTTTAAGACTGATAATCGTATTTGAGGTTGAAAATCTTAAGAGTAAAACAGACACACAAACAATAACATTTTTTCCATCAAACCAAAGCATTTCAAAAAGCCTTTTTATTTATTTAGTATGTCACAGTTTACCCTTAAAAATTAACCTTATTTAAACCACATTTAGTTGAAATCTACACAACTTTCATTTACAACTGATGCTGCCTACATCAATTAATTGACAAATCAGCATACTTTACATGCTATAAAAGAAATGAAAATTGCTGCTATCAAAATTATAACATCTATTTTCAGGGCCTTCATATGTAGAAAATAATATCTGCTTGTACGAACAGTATCACTCACTGACAAACACTCAGCAAAGAGAATCACCAACAAACAGATTTTTTTAAATGCAAAATACATACACAATTAGTTGTGACGTGATACATTCTTGTAAAAATGATCATGAAAATATTATCTTACAATATATTTTACCAGTTCATGTTCATGTGCACAGTTTCAGATTGCATCACTTCACAGTATAATACCTGTATCATGGCACAAAGTATCTTGATACAACAAACACTTGATAAACTGTTATCTATCTACCCATGCTTAACATGAAAGTAAATATCGCCAAGACATATATCGCCATGACTGATATGTAGCTAACACCTGTTAGCTTCTATAGATCATGTAGATTGCTGCATCTTGGTGACCTACAAACACAATTTCTTTCTTCAAGAAAATTAAGCTTAGAGAAATTATTTGAAATCTTATTCCCAAAACAACCTTGTTTGTAATGCAGTTGTAATATAATGTAAAGCATGAACATTATGATAATGACTCACGGAGTGAGTGAGTTCGACTTTACGTCACTCTAACAATATCATGGTGGGAAACACCAGAAATAGGTTCCACACACTGTACCCATATGGGGAGTCAAACCCAGGTCTTCGGTGTGATGAGCGAAGGCTTTAACCACTAGGCTACCCCACCGCCCCTATGATAATGAATGGAACTAATATAATGAAGATGTGTGAATACACTGAAATTACTCAGTACAAGGTGCAGGATAAAATAGCAGCCTATTTATTTCAATTATTAAAAATCACTACTGTTTACATCTTTAAAGGAACTATTTTCATTCACCAAATCAAAAATAGTGTGTTTTCACACGTCTGTGTACGTCATGAACATAACGTGGTATGTTATTTAATATGTTTAAGCAATACAAACATTACTTTAATCAAAAGTTCACAACAGTTTCCATTTAAAAGTATTAAAACAGTTTCTGTACATGCACTTTCATCATGGTGCTGACACAGCAAAGATTACAATGTTACGTATACCGCAGTCCTTAAATCAAAATGAACATGATGAGTCTATCGGTACTACATCTGTTCCACCATGTTCACCACTTATCACCTGACCATGCCAAGCAGGTAATCAGATCAATATATCTGTTGTCAGCCAAATGTTGTGACAGTAATTAATAACTCCAGCCTTACTAGACGTATGATTATAATGTATGTTTTCATTGGGAAATAATGGCAAACATGGCATATCTTGGATACATTGTATCTCTTGCTATGCATCATGTAATCACTGAAAACCTGTATTGTCCACACATATAAAGCTGTCAGTTCCAGTTGAAAATCGAAGTCCATAATGTGATCATATGTAGGTGCAATAAGTAAAAGTAACAGAATTGGAAAAGGATATGCATATCGCCTAACAGTGTTTCTAAACGTTATCACTATATGGCACTGGACCTAGATTGCTAAATGATTATTTTAACCAAATTAGGCCTATATACACATATGTATTTTAACAATTGATAAAGGTAAGAGGTTTCACTAGAATGATCCTTGGCACAACTCTGAGCTGTTGTTATTGTTAAATGGAATATGTTGAGAGAGGAATCTTTAGCCAAGCACAGTTCCTTGTTTTCAGCATCACTACTTGTTGGGCATGGTCTTGCAAGAATCATATGGATAGATGCTTCAAGACAGTTAAAATTAGCATGTCGTGATTGTTCAGTAAAAAGGAACCTGTTAAAAAAAGCAAACGATATGACATCAAGTGAACAAATCCAACATAATCGGATCACAGGATTTAGGTTAGGTTCACCACTTCAGATAACGTGTGGAGAGAGACAGTGAAAGAAAACGGTGTGGTAGGATCGGTCTATAACAATACGCTTCCAAACTGCAAAATAAGATTAAACATGAAATGAAAAAACTCTTAATACCTGATATGTCGTGGAATCGTTACACCGATCGGGATAAAAACTGAAGTAAATGGTTGTATTTTCCGTGTAAGTGTACAGGAACATTTGCCGTCAATCTCGAGAATTCTCGTTGCAGACGAGATTTCCGGAATGAAATGCCCGGATGACTGCAGACGAAAACAGGTGCTCGAACGATATGTAAAATTAAATGTTTTTGTTATTCAAGACGAGGTTGCCTTGTATGGGGTTGTCATGATTTCTGAAATATGTGTTCTTTCTCCAGTTTACGAGCCACTTTTGAAGAAAACATGTATCCTTTTCACGTGAAACAGAGTGTGTTATCAACAACAGTTTATAGATCGTTGAAGTAGTAGGCGAACATGACAGCGTTGTTGATCGTTGCTCATGCTGTCAACCCCAGGTATGGCCGAGGCATGATGAAAGACATGAAGTCATTGACATAGTTTTATAACTGTTATGCGGGAAAGAGTTCCTTCCGTTCCCTCAACCCTAAACCTAACCCTAACTCATGGGCGGATCCAGGAATTTTGAAAGGTGGGGAGGGGAAGGGGGGTATTTTCAGGTGGTTCGAATCCCCTGAACCCCCCGTCAACGCAAAAAAAAAATCTTCAATGTGGTCTTAAGTCTGATTTTCAAGGGGGACCTCTGGTTACACACACTGACACACACACACACACACACACACACACACACACTGGATCCGCCAATGCTAACTTAAATTAAATGTTGGACTTTAAGTCATTTTGTGTGTTCTCTAGTAATTGTTGTGTTAAGTTTTGTTAATAATTTTACTATATTTATAAATATTATTTGGGATGGGGGAACAGAAGGAACTCTTATCGTTATGCAATAGTTTCAGGCACATACCTGCTTGATATGAAGCTAGGACAGATCAAATTAGTCACTGGATTGTATGGCCCAGACTCGAATATTTACAGACCGCCGCCATTTAGCTGGGATGTTGCTGAGTGCCGCGTTAAACAACAAACCAACCAACCAATTAACATTGCCCTGGTCCATGGGTCCCTGAAACAGGATATATATTCTGTCTATATACTGCCTGAGAGATATTGTGATCAAATATGAAAAGATATGCAACTCTGTAATGAGCTTGTGAACCTTAATGAAAAAAACAGATCGAAAGGATCACATAAAAAGCAACACAACTGATGTCTTTGTGAAGAAACTTAACCAGGATGGTAGGAATCTACAGCCTCACTTTGTAAGTAGTGGTACTTAATCAGCCATTAAGTTATGACAGATGGCTTTGTATATACTGATATAAATATTTTTTAAACTAAATTTTGACTTATCTATCCACAATTTACAGAGAGAATGCTTATGTAACATCACAATATAATGGTAAAAAGCTCTAGTTCATTTATTTTTCACTAGTCAAATTGCCAGAATAGTGGCCATCTGATATCCCTGCGATAAACTGATAGACTTATCAGAGCTGATACAGATGGTATTGGGGATGCACATCAAAGTTTCTTATGCTTGCCGATGTAATCACATCATACTGTTCATAATGTATGGCTATGGGGGGTGATGATGATTTTAAGGGGTGGGTGAGTGGGGGCGTGTTTTTTTGTTTGTTTGTTTTTTTGGGGGGGCTTACTTTGCACATAATTTTATTTGACATTGTACATGCTTCTCTATAAAAATCAGACCCGTGAAGGTCCGGGTTAGAATATTGAACTTCAGTAACCTATGCTTGTAGTACGAGGCGACTAACGGGATCGGGTGGTCAGGCTCGCTGACTTGGTTGACACATGTCATCGGTTCCCAGTTGTGCAGATCGATGCTCGTGCTGCTGATCACTGGATTGTCTGGTCCAGACTGGATTATTTACAGACCGCCGCCATATATCTGGAACATCACTCTATAAAAATCATTATCACCCCCACTAGCCATAAATTATTAACAGTCCCTTAAGTTATATGCATTTTTATGTGATTGGAATTCAATGTAATGATTTGTCTTATTGTTTTGCAGAAGGATGACAATGTCTTTTACTTCTACATTCAGAGAAATAACATAATTTTCTTTGCAACATCAACATCTGAACTATCTCCAGTTGCAGTGATAGAAATACTCAGCAGGTAGGAACCAAATTTTTGTATTGATTTAACAACCTCTGAATTACGTTTGGTAATATTTGAAAGAGCAAATGTCAAGCAGTCTACTCAGAATTTGAATCCCTGAATAGCAACCACAACAGTTGAATTATAGGCGTTTTGGCCATGGAAGACAAGTGTAGAGCTTCTACCTGAAGGAATCCCTTTCCTATATTCCTTATCTCTCTAGGATACATCTGTGTCTATTCTTATGCAGCTGGGGCCTGTAGAGTGGCCTTTTGCTTAAAGTGTTCGCTCATCACACCAAAGGCCCAAGTGTGATTATCCACCTTGTTTATAATGTGTAAAGCATATTTCTGGTGTCCCAAGCTGTGATATTGCTGTATTATTGCTAAAAGTGGTATTAAACCCAATTACTCACTCCTTATACTATAAGGACACCCCTTTCCATGTTCCTTATACCACAAAGGTACCCTGTATCCTAAATACTCCCATGTCTGTGTTCCTCATCTATAGGATGTCCCTCTTGATGTGCTGGTCCTTGCATGAGATGTCACCAATGTTGCCTTGAGCCTTGTTGTCTGTCGTTTCAGATTATATCATGTTTGCAAGGACTTCTGTGGAACAGTGTCAGAAAATTCTATCAAAAGCAACCTGTTGCTTTTATACGAAGTACTGGATGAAATGCTGGTTTGTATATTTATATATACTGGAAATGATAAATACCAATACAGTTATGATTACAGGGAAAACAGTGCTTACCTAGCCGAACGGATACATATCTGATATGTACTTAATGCGTTCATTATATCGTTTCGTGTTTTTGTCATTCTTAGAGATATATATAAGATTCCAAATATGCAAGGCTGAAATGTATTGAAACACTGTGTTCAGTCATCCAATAATGTAAAATTAATCTGTTAAGGTTTATGTTATTAGTGAAATATAAATCACCTTGATCAAGCCATCACATGTTATAGCTACCTTGACATGACTTAGGACATTTTTAACTGGGACATTTTCTGCAGACTATGGGATGAATGTCAGCCGCTGGGCAGTTTGAGATATATCTTTTCATACCCTTACCACCAGTTATCCAAGCCTATGAGCTTGACCATTCAGTGCAAATATGATTTTGATTACTAGTGTATAAAGTATGTGCTACTCGAATGTCAGAGGTGCATAAATTGTGGTATCTATATGTAGATTTTTATTGATGAGGCCATTAATTTGACACCTCTGTCAATGGGTACCTGAGTTCAGTTTTCAGTTACCATTATAGTTTAGTATGTCTATGTGCATCTACACTTAGTTTTCCATTTTAGGACTATGGGTTTGTTCAGCTTGCAAGTACGGACAAGTTGAAACCTTACATCAGTAGTGAACCAGTTGTCATAGAAACAAGCAGATCAGCACAAGAAGATGTGGCGGCTAGACTTGTGAGTGGTTCTGTGTAGCAAAACAAAGCACCATACCATTTCATTAAGTGATCCTTGATCAGTCAGACCCACTTCAATGCCATAGAGGGGCGGTGTGGTAGCCTAGTGGTTAAAGCGTCCGCTCGTCATGCTGAAGATCCGGGTTCGATTCCCCACATGGGTACAATGAGTGAAGCCCATTTCTGGTGTCCCCCGCCGTAATATTGCTGGAATATTGCTAAAAGCAGCGTAAAACCATACTCACTCATTCACTCACTCACTCATTGACATATATAAGTCAGCGTCATATTATGCACTAAACCATTGCTGTTAGACTGATCCCCATTTATAATACAATTATATAGTGATGCCTGAATTACTGAAACATAGTTCAAAGTAGTGTTACCATGTATTCTCATATCCGATTATATACATTGTATTGAAAAACACTCCATTTACAATGTCTATGAATTACTTGCCCTTCCCAGGCCTTGAGTTCATGCATGCAGAGCTGATTAATAAGATGAATTAAATCATGAACATATTGTTATGATTTCCTTTGTACAGTGAATGCAATTACTTTACTTTCAGCTTGGAATTGACAGCAGGGTCGTGCCCTTCAGTGCAGCAAACAAGCCAGTAATCCGATCTCAAGCAGATATGGCAAGTACCTATATCTCATCATCTGTTTTAGTCAGCGGTGGTTATTTAACCTTTGATGAACCATACAGAAACAAGAAGTTTCCAAATTCACAGTAGAATAACAGTCAAATGTTACTCAAAAATATATCACAGCTCTACTGGCCGTACTGTTCACACACTCATGAGGCTTTAATGGAAATGGTAGATGTGAATTCCTGATTAGTAAACCATGTAGACCATGTACATTGCAGCTTGAAAGTTTTCTAATTAGTTCCATTGTGTATTGAAATAATAATTATTAAAGGTAATAAAACTTGAGCTAAGCACACAAATAAACTATTTCAATGATATTTCAAAACTTTTATAATCTGATGAGTAATGTGTTGTCAAGATACATGTGTTATGTTTGGATTGTACTTCATCATGTTCATCACATGAATAATCAGTCTCATCAAAATCAGACCCTGTTCCCACTATCAATTAAGAAAAGTCTGAGGACAGGTCACCACAGAACAAACTTTTGAATGCCATTGAAATGACTAGCAAGAAGTCGATGTTCAGCCAGCTAGAAAGCAACTTTCTCAAGCTACACTGCTCTAGTCTCTAATTTGGGACATACATTCCAGATTATGCAAATATTTTGACTATTCTTGATTCAAAATTTGAAAACTGAATGAAAGGACATTCTTGGATGTTCAATGGATGGCTGACATTGCAGTATTTCTCAAGGGCTATGGATTGTCTCTACCATTTCTAACTGAAGCAAGAAACAGACGATGACTTCGATGGAATTGTCATTTAGACTACCCCATGTGTCAAGGTTATGCAATTTTAAGGTTAAATCATTCAAAATCACATTCAAACTGTTACTTTCCCGGTCAGGTAAGTGATGCTCCGATTAGTTAGAAGAAAACTAGTTCTAATACCAGCAGTTTCTCATTCATTGGCTGACTATCATCATACCTACCTGTGATGATCCGGGTTAGAATTGGTCTTCTGCAACCTATGCTTGTTGTAAAAGGCGACCAACAGGATTGGGTGGTCAGGCTCGCTGACTTGATTAACACATGTCATTGTATCCCGATTGTGTAGATCGATGCTCATTATGTTGATCACTGGATAGTCTGGTCCAGACTCGGTTATGTACAACCACCGCCATATAGCGGGAATATTGCTGAGTGCAGCATTAAACAAAAAAACCAGCCAACCAAATCATACCTACTATGACGACAGTAATAAAATGCACTTTTCCAAATACATCTAATGAACTAGTCTGAATGATGAATAAATGAACTTTTTTGTAAAGTATATGTTAAACAGTCCGATCTATATTTCAGGAGAACCGGCGGAATGAAGTGTTTGTTGATGTTGTTGAAAGGCTGACAGCTGTTGTCGACTCCAGTGTGAGTATTCCCCAGTCACTGACCATGCTAACAGGTTTTCTTATAGATTGTTGTTTCGTAGCCATCGTGTTGATGGTCAAATATAGCTCATCCAGAACTCTTGGCAGGTTGTGTTGTCATATGAATGCAAGAAGCATCAACATTCATTGGCTGAGCCAAAATCAGGCTTGATTGACAAAAATGTCTTTCTAAAGATTAAAATTAATGTTAAAAGGTGATTTTCTTTGAAGCCTGTTCCAGAAAGCAGTATAAGCATGTGATATAATTTCAGGGAGTTGTGAGTCGGATGGAGATTAATGGTTCGGTCAACATGAAGAACTTCTTGATTGGCAGTCCCCTGATAAAAATAGCATTAAACGATGACCTGGTTGTGCACCAGGAGGGTCAGTTGAAAGGTACGTAGATCGCCGTAGATCAGCGTCTCCACTCCGTCTTTTGTGATGTTTATATCTTATGAAACATAAATTTTTAACTTACCTTACCATAGGTCTTATGCATATTACCTCAACCCCACTTTAAAAGAGATCAGACAGTCGTTGATTCGCCATTCTCTAGAATGGCTGCCTCAAGTATCGACGAGTGTACAGGAACGGAAGTGACGTGATCTGCCCTCTCCGCGCAAGCGCGGTCTATCCAAAATCACTTTTACTTCAAGCGTACTGTCTGTCAGATGTTTTTTGATTTCGCTAGTTCGCTACTTACTGATTCTTTCAGATATTTAAGTTCTTCTTTGAGTGGCATTTTTAGAAGTTGGGAAGTACAATATAGAACAAACTTTATGGATAACAACTTCTTTTTATTCGTACCGTTGTCTTGTACGTTTCGATACAATTCGGTACAAGAATTGTCAAACGCATAACTGACAGCGGTAAAAAAGAAGTTGTTATCCATAAAGTTTGTTCTATATTTAAGTTCTTGTTTGTTTTCGGTATGTATGCTTTTTATATCCTATATTCTTCTCTGTGTGGGTGAAGAACATAATTAAAACTTCACTTACCTGGCTGCCTCAAGTCTCACTTCAGTGTGGGGTGTGTTCCCACGTTGCAAGTATCGCTTCATTGGGCATGTTTGGTGTTTTGCATTCTCCTATGTCTTTTTCACCATAATGTTCATGCTTGGTCTTGTATTTCTTGATATTGTTGCCTAATTTGTGCTTGTTTTTCACGCTCTTTTCGGCTCAGTGGGGGCAGCCATCTTGGTTGTTTACTCTGCTACCGACTGCTTGGGCGTGCCCATTCTTGCTGCAGGAGTGTTTCCATTTTCTCTGCAGGTTTTTTTTTCTGTGTGTTTACGTAGTTTTTACGTTTCACTTTTTTTGTGTGTGTTACAGCCATTGTGTGCATGACCCGGCAGTTTTTCTGTATCTGCAAGGTGCAGAAGTCTGCCAATGATCCCGGCCCATGGTGTCCAGACTGCGCTACTGTAGCCTGTTCTCTTGCTGAGCGCTGTCATTTTTGTACGCCGTTATCTGTCGCCGATTTCAAGGCTTACACCGCCGCCAAGAAGAAACGATTGTCGCAGCGTAAGAGGAAGATGTCTTCACCTGCTTCGTCGTTGGGCCCCAGATCTTCTCTTCCACGGATGCCGGACGGACGCTCCCCTCCTTTAGCTGAACAGACGTCTACACCTGCGCCGAGTAGGCTGACGCCTGACGCCCAGCGCCCATCTGACGCCTTGGTGGACTTATCTCAGCCGGGACGCCTTATCTCATCCGGAGGTACTGAAGCTTCTAAGGACGCTCCTTTTGCCTGCAGCAGTTGAAGCACAAGCCAGCGCCGTTCCAGCGCCGCCAGCTATGGCACCTAGTTCTGATGTTGCTGGATTGGTGCATCAACCAGCGCCTCCCCCAACGCCTCCCCCAATGCCAACGCCGTTGTTAGACTACCGTATCCCCAAGAAGGCTCCTGTGTCTACGTTGTCTCGAGAGGAGGATCTTCAGCGTCAGTTATTGGAAGAGCGTTCCCGGCGCCAGGAAGCCGAGCGCTCCCGACGTTCTAAACTGTCTCACTCTAGGTCTCCTCGACAGCGCCATCCTTCTCAAAGTCCCTAGCATAGTTCTGATACTAGTCATTGCCGTCGCCGGTCTGATTCCAGGTCTCGCTCTCCCAGACGTCCCAATGATAGGGAGAGGCGTTCAAGGTCGCCGACTCGTGGGAGGCGCTAATGTCGGTCCCGTTCAAGGTCGCCTCTTTTTCGCCGCTCGCTACGACGACCACGTTCCCCTACAGTTACCTTTAGTGCTGTTTCTCAACTGTCATCTGAGTGCCCGACGCCTGCTGTTTCTGGCCAACGGTATAATGCTACTACCGTGTCCTGGGAGGACGCTGAGGAGCACTATTTTTCTCCCGGTTATAATGAAGAGATGTTATAAGAGGAAGATGATGGGGATACTTACCTCCCTCTATCTGCTGTATTTGACTGGATTGCCGACAGGCTGCCAGATTGTCCTTCTCCCTCTTCAGGCTCTTCAGGCTCTGATGACCCGAGAGCTATTAGGACTTCTCCCGAGTTACTCCTCCCGCCTTACCCGGTTGATGCGGTGGCCTCTTTTGATGCCGACTTTGCTAAACTGTCTCTCAATACTACTATTAAGGCTCCTAAGTCATGCAAGGGGACTACAAGATACATAGCCTGGATTTCGCTGATGGAAGCGCGGCTCATGATGAATCCCTCAAACGTTTATCGGGTTCTCCACTGTCTTCTTACCGAGTGCAGGACTCTAACATGTTGGCTTATTGATGCAGAGCTCAAGAGGTTGTTGAAGCCTGTTTCGGCGTTGGCCTCTGCAACTTCGGCTGCAGCTTGGGACTTAACTGAAGATAATGCGTCGAGGACAGAGCACCTTACCACCCTGTTCCAATGGCAGGGTAAGGTGTTACATGATATACTGGCACACCTTCGGACGGCGTTGGGCATGACGACTGTTGTTCGGTGGATGGGGTTCCTTGAGCCTTGCTCTTGGCAGGAAGAGTTCAAAGGAAGAGTCCCAAGAAGAGACTCTGTCTGTAGCGCCTTCGGCAGAGGACATGTCTGTGGCAGGTCCGACCCCGACGCCTCCTTCGACGCCTGGCAGGGGTAGGGGGAAGTGCCCCTACTCAGGTTGCTGAAGCTTGGAACCAACACGACTGGGACCTCCCGCCCCCAGCCATGCCGGTTCGTCCTACTCCAGTAGGCGGGAGACTGGGGATCTTCTGGCCCAACTGGACTGTCCTAGAAGATCCATTTGTGACCAACATTCTCAGACCAGTTACAAGCTCCAGGCCAACAGTCACTGTTAGCAGACAACATTCAGACTCTGTTAGACAAAGAAGCTATAGAGACAGTGCTAGACCCCCAACAGTCCCCGGGTTCTACTTACCCATCTTCTTGGTTCCCAAGAAAGACTCAGCGAAAATGCGCATGATTCACAACATGGCAGTTTTCAACCACCTTTACCTTTCGGAGCCGCCTCACTTCCGGATGGTGTCCCTGGAACAGCTTCGTGCCAAGCTTGCGCCCAGGGTATGGCTGGCCAGCCTCAAACTCCAGGATGCCAACCTGCATGTGTCCATTTACCATCGTCACAGGAAGTACCTGAGGTTTATTTTCAACGGGTCCCACTACCAGTGGAAAGTGCTTACGTTTGGAATTTCCACGGCCCGTGGATTTTTACTCGGATAACCTCGACTATCACCCGGTTTCTCCATCTCAGGGGCATCGATTTCGACCCTTATATAGATGACTGCCTCATGAACCATCTCGACCCTCAGTTGCTTCGCAAACAGATGGACTTTGCCATTCGTCTCCTAGAGCAACTGGGGTGGATTATCAACTCAGACAAGTCCCACCTGGAGCCGTCCCAGGAACTGACGTTTATAGGAGGCTTGTTCCTGACTCACTGCGACCTTGTCAGGATTCCACAGGATCGCTGGAGGAAAATTGTCAGTTTCGCCAGCCAAGGTCTGTCCCAGCCGCTCACACTCAGGGAGTGGCAGTCATTCTTAGGTCTCCTCACCTCAGCCCAGGACTTGACGCTCAGAGGTCGTCTGATGCTCCGGACGTTACAATGCTTCCTCTTGCCTTACATCCAAGCGGATGACCTCCAGTCAAGGTTCCTTCTGCCTCTGCATCTCCTCGCTTACCTCCGCTGGTGGACTGTAGAGTCAATCATCTGCGTAGGAGTCTCCTTGACAGAGTTTGTTAACGATCACAAACTTTACGTAGACGCATCTCTTCAGGGTTGGGGTGCACACCTCAACAACCAGACCACCTCAGGGCTGTGGTCCTTCGCCGAGCTAGGCTGGCATATCAACAACTTGGAGCTCCAAATTCTAGCGTTCACACTGGAGCCTCTGATAGAACACCAGGCTCCTGATAGCGTCAGCCAATTCTACGGTGGTGTGGTTGATTCGCAACCAGGGAACAACCAGGTCCAAGCAGTTGTTGAAGCAGACCTTCCTGTTGGCCAGTCTCCTGGACAACAATGGCATCACAGCCAGAACGCCCTAGCAGACGCTAACCAGAGTAGATGCTACATCCAGAAGCTTTCAACCTTCAATGTCACAGTCACGGCCGCCCTCTGATCGACCTGTTTACGACTCAGTTCAACAAAGCTTCCGTTGTACGTGTCTCCGATTCCAGATCCGGCAGCATGGGCAGTCGACGCCATGTCCTTGTCGTGGAGGGTCTGGGCGCATACGCCTTCCACCACCAGAAGTGATAGCAAAGGTCAAGCAGACAGAGCAAATTCATCTGCTTTTGGTCAGAGGTGACCAACCAGAACCTGGTTCCCCAGATCTGCGCTGTCTCACGAAAGAAGTCCGCTACAGTTACCAGAGTGGCCTCACCTGCTCAGGCATCCGCGACAGTCGACAGCTGCATCCCGATCCGACTCGATTTCATCTGTACGGCTTGATCATCTGCACAAGGCACTGAAGGCCAAGGGCTTCTCCACAGGTGTAGCCAAGGTTATTGCTCGTGCTCATCGAGTCTCCACTAGATCACTCTATGATGATAAGTGGACTTCCTTTGAGAAGTTTTGTGCACAGAAGTCAAAGGACCCGCTGAAAGCTTCTCCTCAGTTTATAGCAGAGTTCCTTCTTTTCCTTCGGAAGTCCCGGCATCTCAAGGGCAACACTATCGGAACTTATTTATCAGCTCTTAACTCTGTTTTGGCGGTCAAGTGCGACAAAAAGATTTCCAAGGTGCCGGAGCTCATCGCCGTACTCAAAGCCTTCAAGCTGGAGGACCAGGAGGCAAAGTTTCATTCTTCTGCTTGGGACCTTAACATCATTCTCCGGCATCTGAGAGGTCCACCTTACGAGCCTTTGGACACTGCTTCATTCGAGAACCTCTCCAGAAAGACAGCGTTTCTCTTGGCCTTGGCCACGGCGGCTAGAGTCAGCGAGATCCACGCTTTGGATGTCACCAGGGTGCGTTTTGAGCAGTCACGGGATGGGCTTGGTCATGCTTTGGGATTTTCGTGGCTAAGAACCAGCTGCCAGGACAACCGGACAGAATGTTCTCCATTCCTCCATTGGCTTCTATTTTAGGACCCCACGATGCTGAGGAACAGCTGCTTTGTCCTGTGAGGGCTCTTAAGATGTATATTGCCAAATCATCATCCAGGAGGCAGTCTCGTAAGAGACTGTTCATCCCATTTTCTTCTGCGGCAAAAGGTGAAGTTAATAGGAATACTATTGCGCTCTGGCTACGTACGACCATCCTGGCTGCCTACGATGCACTAGATCTGCCTCATCCTACAGCCAATAACCCGCACAAGATTAGGGCCCTGGCGTCCACCATGGCTCTCCATAGGAACTGCACCGTTCCAGCCATCATGGAGGGATGCTTCTGGAAGTCCTCTACTGTCTTTGCTAGCCACTACCTGTGGGATTTGGCCGTCGGGGATGTTGAAGATCTGCAATCCTTTGGTCCACTGGTGGTTGCCCAGCAACTCACCCGACCTACCGCCCATTAGGTAACTACTTCTTCTTACCTTCTGGTCTTAAGGATAACTTACGCCCTGGGTGTATTGTTTTCCTTAGGGTTTCCTTGGGTCACTATCTGTTTCTTGCTCCAGTCTCTTCCTGCGACAGTCTGCCGATTCAGTTAGTTTCCTTGGTTTCCCTTGGCATGTGGTCTTGTTTTTCTCCTCTGGAGCCCGACACCGCCGTCCTACTGTCGAATCCATATGCATAAGACCTATGGTAAGGTAAGTTAAAACTTTATTAAAATCTAAATATTTTAGATATTTAAATACTTACCTTACCATAGGGCGGTAACTCCCTCCCAACGCTGGATGCTCCTCCCCTCTCTGGGCTCTTCGGACCTGGTCAGTAAATGTGATTTTTGGATAGACCACGCTTGCGCGGAGAGGGGAGATCACGTCACTTCCGTTCCTGTACACTCGTCGATACTTGAGGCAGCCATTCTAGAGAATGGCGAATCAACGACTGTCTGATCTCTTTTAAGCGGAGCTTGAGGTAATATGCTTAAGACCTATGGTAAGGTAAGTATTTAAATGTCTAAACTATTTAGATTTTAATAAATTGTTTGCCTGGTAAAAACTTGCTGTAAAACTGAATTTACTATGTTTATGCAAAAATAGCAAATGAAAAAGCTCAGCATAGAAGCTAAAAATAACACCTTTACTCTCACTTCTTTGAGTGGCATTTTAGAATTTGGGAAGTACAATATCAACAAACTTTATGGATATCAACCTCTTTGATTTTGTGAGTGCGACGTTTTGATACAGATTCTTGTACCTTTGTAAAGCTTGACAACAGTGCAAGAATTTGTATTGAAATGTCCAACTTATGTGGATCATTAAACCACCTGGTTCTTAACCATCTTATAGGCGTAAATTCTATCTGCATGCATTACAGTATATATACTACTATATTGCAACTTGTTCTGTCAACCACTTGGCCATTTGATCCAAAGTAATTATTTGTTAAAGAGTTACTTCCCTTCCATTATTGTACCATTTGCACTTTCTTTCTTACTGAAAGTACTTATCAGACTGACAGGGAGAAAATCAAGATGGCAAATTATCTTCCCCACTTCAGTAAAATTTAGCTCAGTAGATATGGCAATTAGTTAAGTAATTATTTCATTTATTTGTGCAGGTCTTGGACAAAATGTCCAGCTTGACAGGTGTCATTTTCACCAGTGTGTCAAACTTGATGAGTTTGACAGTAACAGGATCCTGAGGAATGTGGTTTGTTGTTAAGTGTACCATCACAAACAGAGAGGTGAGATATAGGTAAGTTTGCTGTAAACTCCAGAATGTTCAAGATGTGAGTCCATATGAATGTGGTTTGTTGTGTAGTGTTTAGAGTGTCTCATCAAGACCAAGCTTCTACTCTCCACATGAAAATATGGTACATTTGGTGATTGATATAGGTGAAGTATTGCTAAAGAGTCAATTCACTAACTCTTTTCATGCTACATGCGTATTGAAGTTTTGCTTGCACATTCCAGCTATCTAAGAACATACTAAACCCATACACACGCATGCATGTCGCCACAGATTTCTTTAACCACGATTTCTGTTTGCAAATGTGTTTGCAAATGTGATCATGGAATTGTACATGAAAAAAGCATTCACATCCAACATTATGGAATCGGTTGATAGAAAGCATGCAAGAATTGTTCCATAGACTTAAAGTTATTGATGCTATTAAAGTGAATTAATCTATAACACAGCAAAAGAGAGAGGAGCAGGCTGCTTCTATTATAAATCGTGATGTGTAAATTTGGAGTGGGCATCAGCAAAACATATATTGTCCCATCACCACTCTCAAAGGCCTACTCATCATTCCTTGCTGGGCAGATCTGTACGAATTAAGTGTTAATGATCCAATGGTAAAGCACCGTGTTTCCCTTGCAGTTCTCTATCATGACATACAGTGCTAATGGGGAGTTTCCTATAACTGTCCCTCTCAGAGTGATGACATTCCTGTCCGAAATCAAAGGTAGCAGGTAAGGCTGACACAAGTTTTACTCAGGTTCCAGTGACCAACTACATGTATGTAATACTGTGGAGGAAATGGGTCTGGGATTTTTGTCAGACTGTATATCATGGGCTATTTAAAACCATTTTTATACTTTTTACACAACTGTTAAATGAACATTATATTTCTAAATTATATATTGTTTTTCTCCAGTATTTACATGAGGGAACATGTGGTCCTTAAGATTTATACTGTAGCTGTAGTCTTAGAGACTGATATTGTTTTACCTATAGTTACAACAAGAACTCCTTTTGACATTTGGGGGTATGGGTGGGTTTGCCTACAGTTTAAAGTGGTCACTTAACTTGGTCTGCCAAGACTGCCTTTGACATTTTTTCATCATGAATTGAAGTTCAATTCTGTAGGGGCTGACTTTGTAGCCAACAGGTTTAAGTGTACACTTGTCAAGTTGAAGGCCTGGTTCACTTATCTGGTGTCCCCCATCATATATTACTAAAATCAGGGGTGGAAATAACCCATTGCCCGACGTCCGAGTCCAGTGTTTTTTTCTGTCGGGCAAGCAAATTTGTATATCACACTGTACCGATGTCCAGTTGACTTTCCAATGTTAATTATGTTGTTTATTAAAAAAAATCAACAAGAAAATGGACGGTATAGTGGAAAAATTATCAGGGCAAGTGATTTTACATGTGCCACTGTACTGGAGTACACTATTAATTTTAAAGTTATTTCCACCCCTGCTAAAAGCTTCATAAAACTATACTCAGATACTCACCCACTTACACATTCACTCACTCTGCATCAATGTAGATAATTTCATGATCTGGATGTCAGCTGATTCAAATTGATACACATCAACATGTTGTTTCTATGATATAACTTTGGTTCCTAGATGTGCATTAACAATGCTTATGTTGTTATTCCACCAGAGATGTTGACATGACTGTGAGGCTCAAGTGTGAGGTCCCTGCCAACTGCCAATTTGTGTACATAGCAGTCAAGATAAACATTCCAAAATCAGTCACAAGGTGAGGTTCAAAGTCATATACAGGGAAGATGAGAAACGCAACGGCTCATAGCTTCATTTTATACTGTTGATATCAATGACTTAAATACACTTTTCAATTAAGAAGTCCCAAATTTTTAGCATTAACATTGTTTATCTGTCATGACTGTGGGTGTCGCAACAATTGTGAATGTTCTTTTACTTTTTTAAGTAGTGTATGTAAGACATAGATCTCAAGATCCTATAGTTTGATTAGTTGTCAGTGCAGGCAAATCACTTACAAGAATATTTTTCTCAGGAATGTGAATGTTGAATGGCCCCAAGATTCATTACTATAATCAATTACAGAAGCAATTAATTGTCATATAAATGAATGATTTGTGATAAAATCTCCTTACACAGTGGATCAAATGAAGCATCACTCAACTGCTTGTAGCACATCGCTATAAATATTCATTCAGAGGTACAGATAAGCTGCGTATCTGCGTAAATTACGAAAATATTTATGTGAAAAGTCAATTCCTATTAAGTCTATTGCGCACAAGTACGCTTCAATTTTTGTAAATACTCAGTAGATTTGATATTACATGCGTACAAACAAAAATAGATAAAACAACTGAGGTATATTGAGAGTTTCTATTTCAGCACCTGGACTTGGCAACTTGCAGTCTTTCTTATCGTTTCTCATATAACAGATCAAATATAAATAACAAACACGTAAACCAACATTTAAACTTTAATATATTTTTACAATTAATGGAAAATGGCAAATTACCCAATTGCGTTTGAGTGAGGTGGGTACAATTTATTTGGTTACTCAAAGGAAAATTAGGATACCCAATTAAGATGAACACAAGCGAGTACATAACTCAATGACCCAAAAGTTATCTGCAGCTCTGTTCATTGTTTGATATGGTATGTTCCTTGGCAATCATCAGGATCCAAGACTACAAGGAACCCTAGATTTTTAAGGACCAAGATTTTGAAAAGTAATGAATATCCTACAAAGTTGTAGAAAATGTATTGTAGCATTACTTTGTTCATGTGTTTTGCAATCTTGATACACTGAGTTTGTGATTCCAGCATGTCCCAGAGCCTCAGTGGGCCTAATCAGACTGCAGACTTGAGGAGAGAGGAGGGGGTGATATCTTGGAAGATGAGGAAATTGCCAGGGGCCACAGAAGCTATTGGAAAATTCAGGGTATTGTTAGATTCCACACATGGGTACAATGTGTGAAGCGCAATTTTTAAAACCGATCCTATCTCACATTATGCACATTCTCTTGTTCTTATGACCATGGAATGGAAACGACTTGGAACAGAGGAGTTTTCTGCCTCTAACACCTCACCCGAACACACTAATGCTCAATCTGTTCTATTAGGCAGTCACAGGTAGCTCAAGCTCCAGTTGATCATGTAACCTTTAATTATGTTCATTCTCTTCCTTGTCATCTGAAAGTGAAGATGTAGTGTCTTACAGAGAACATTCTTTAATGGGCCATAGGTACAACCTATTTTGACATTTTATGGTTGTACACAAGATTACAAAATTGTTAAGGATGACGCAGCCCACATGAAAAGGAAGGTGTAAATGGACATGTCAGTTGCTCACACCACATCGCAAAACCAGACTCACATCTTGGGGTGACCTGTGAGTGAGTGAGTTAAAATTTTAAGTCACATCGGCAGTATTTCAGCCATATCGTGACTAGGTGACCCATCAAGATACGGGATAGAATTGGTCTTCAGCAAACCTTGCTTGTAGTGACAAGCGACTAACAGGATCGTGTGGTCAGGCCCGCTGACTTGTTTAATCGTATCCCAGTTGTGTAGATCGATGCTCATGATGTCAGTCACTGAATTGTCTGGTCCAGACTTGATTATTAATATACCGGCGCCATATAGCTGGAATTAAGCTGACTATAGCATTAAACAACAAACAAAAACAAATCATAAGCGAACAGGAAGTGGACATTCCTGAAGAAGAAACCACACATAACTTTCATGATGTTATAATGATCATTGTCATAGAAAATGGTAAATGTCTAAACCTTTATAACTACTGACTATTCATTGAGGTGACATACTGTGATAAAAACTTAAATACTGTTCACTGAAACATTAAAAAACAAACCCGTAAACTTAATGTCTTTTCATTGCAGTTGATCAGTCAAGGTGGAGACAAGATAAACAAGAAGGAGATTGGCCCCCTCATTGTGGACTACGAGGTGTCGGGATACACGTGCACTGGCCTACAGATCCGCTACATGAGGGTGTATGACCAGGAACACTCCTATGTGCCATTCCGGTGGATACGATACATCACTGTCACAGAATCCTACATTGTTACACTGTCATGAAGTACCAGCCTGTAAATGATTTTCAGTTATGGAGCGGTGGGGTAGCCTAGTGGTTAAAGCGTCCGGGTTCGATTCCCCACATGGGTATAATGTGTGAAGCCCATTTCTGGTGTCCCCCGCCGTGATATTGCGGGAATATTGCTAAAAGCGGTGTAAAACCATACTCACTCATTCACTCAGTTATGGACTGATCAAAATTTGACAACATCAGCACTAAAATTTGTCACTAAAACATCCAAATGGACTCACATAACCCCAATCCTCCAGAGTCTGCATTGGCTGCCGGTTGAAGCCAGAATTCATTTCAAGATCTGCACTCTTGTTTTCCGCTGCAAACACGGCCTAGCTCCTCCATACCTCTCTGAGATGTTGTCAACATATATGCCTGCCCGTTCTCTCCGCTCTCAGAATCAACATCTTCTCTCAGTTCCCCAAGTTCGTCTCAAACACTTTGGCCATAGGTCATTCAAATTTGCAGCACCAACCCTATGGAACAGTCTTCCTACTCCCATAAAAAATGCTTCATCCTTAGAAGCATTCAAATCGGGACTCAAAACCTTTCTCTTCAAAGGTCTACAACCTATAACTGCGAAATATTCTCATGGTCATTTTGACGAATTGTCATATCTTCCTCTTGAACTCTAGTGACTCTTTTTATATGTAGCGCTTTGAGCATGCTCTGGATGGACTATGGCGCATAAGAAATATCCATTTATTATTATTATTATTATTATTATTATTATTATAATCAACATATCAAACCTCACATGAAACATAATGTGAAATTTGTTACCTTATAATTTACAGATTGCATGGTGCTGAATCTTCAACGGCAATAAAGTCTATCTCCTTAATAGCTATATCTTCAGGAACCAATATAAGCCAAAGATTTATTTTTGTTTGGATTCTTGAGATGTGTTATGCATGTAGGTGCTGTTTTAGAGTGAGTAAGTAATTAGCGACTATTATGCACAAACAATGACTCATGGACGAAAGAAAACAATCACCAGCTGATTCAGATTTTGTTGTATAATGCACCATTTCAAATTCTTTTGCCCCTGATGTACATTAAGAACAGCAAGTGTACCAGAACTGTATGAAAGGGTCCGTTCTTGGATACACTTTTAGTCCTATTTGTTTTACATGTGTTTTATACATCCCCTTCTGCTGAGATAGTTTAGCAATTAAAAGTGGTGCATTTTAGCAGAAATTTTGTATTTCATGTGAATATAATATCTCATTGTTGTTTAAAGTGACTTCTGTTGTTTTTGTTTTTAAGGACACTTCAATCATTCTGATTATCTAGTTAGAGTTTTGAAATCCTGGTAACTGCCTCTGACAGAAACAGATGCTTAAGGGTCATATCAGAATGGAAGGTAACATTTATAGAAAAAAAAAATCACTTTGAATCATTGTGGATAGGAATTTGTATGTGGAAATTCATTTGGGAACTAAATAGAAATCTCCTTTGGGAATGTATGTCAATTTTAGGGTTCCAAATTCCAAATTTTAGGGTGGTTTTCTGTAGTTAACCTGGTTCTACTCTGAACTGAATATGTTAACCTCCTATGCCCAGATGTAGTATAACATATTTTAGGTACCTGATAAATAATATTGCAATGTTGAGACAAACTCAATTAACAAAAGGGATACCCAGTTAGACTGTTGCAGAAGCTTGCTACACTTACAAAGGCAACCTTACAGGATACAAGAAGCGTTCATAAAATCATTATTGTACCTTTGTCTGTGACATAAGTTCACCCAGCACTCCAATCAGGGCTAAGCAGTGTAATCTCATGACCACCGGTGAACATATTTCACCCTATTTCACAAGATAAACTAAGTGAACTATATTCATATCATTTGCTACATATTGAATTATAATTGAGTGAACTATGTCAACGACAAGCACTATAAAGTATGGACATTTCCTTGTTTCTCCATTGCACTATGGCAAACGTTCAAGTAAGCACTGGTTTCATTCCTAATGGATGCGGCGGTCAGTACTTGGTATACAGGGGCTGTAAGTTCAGTATCAAGATGTATCAGTAAATGATGTGATATATGTTGTATAAATGAATAAATAATTATAAGTATATTATATAAGTAATAAATATAGACAAACATTGAGTCAAAAGTAGTAGTATTTTATCCCAAACACTAAGTCAACAGTAGTAGTATTTGATCCCGGATACTATTTCACAGGGAACAAAATAAGGGATTATAGGGGATTATCACACCCCAGTGATTTCTTCTACTGAAACAATAGAAGTATTCGCTGTATCTACACAACTAAAGATAATGACTTAAGGTCAAATCCATGTGTGCCATGTTCCTTCTGGTTTATTGTGCCAATAAGAAACGAGTTAGTGTACAATTACAAACATTTGCAATACTACTCTATCTAACCCAATCACAGATAGGGATGTTTCCTGTAAATCAAGACCCATTTGTGGTAGGTGCTAATTTTCTCGGACAGAATATAAATCATGTCTTGTTTGTTTGTTGTTTGACCAGCACTCAGAAATTCAGAGGTCGGTAGATAATACGGTCTGAGGCAGAAAATCCTTTATAAATCATGTAACAAAATCATCACAAGTTCTGTCGGTCATTTTGTTACTGAACACAAAATTAAGGATAATGAAAAATGCGGAGATTTGTTTGTATGAATGTGTAAAGGTACTATGTCTTCACTACAAAAAATATATATCCCAAACACCCATGTTCATGTTTTTGTTCAGTATGTTTGGTGCAATCATATACGGCATGTACAGATACAGAATTACACACACACACATCCCGCCCAGGTCTATAGTATGTTGTCATCAACTCTTTGAAATAAGGTATTTGTAAATGTATGTTAACCTTTTAAAAGGTGTTACGTTTCTTGTATCAGCGACAAGACGAGAATAGGTTCATCTTATTATACGGAAGAATGAGGGTGTGCTCTAAACTTCACCCCCCATGCTGTTTGTAGTAATGAGTCCACCCGTGAACATCCCGGTTAGAATTGGTCTTCAGCTACACGTTTGTCGTAAGAGGCGGCTACCAGGATCGGGTGATCAGATTCACTGATTTGGTTGACACATGTCATCGTATCCCAATTTAGTAGATCGATGCTCCTGATCACTAGACTGCCTTGTCCAGATTCTATTATTTACAGACCGCCTCCATATAGCTGGAATACTGCTAAGTGCGGCGTTAAATGACAAAGAAACAGTAATGAGTCGGGTGTGGAGGCCAGTGATAAAGATCAACATCCGTTGACAGGGCTATAGACAGACAGACAGACAGACAGACAGACAGAATTTATTCCATTTTTTAAGGCCTCAGGCCCATACAATATAGATAAGAGTTTGGGTAAAGATTTATGCATGCATAATAACAGTTACATTGAAAACTGTTAATAATGCGGTGTTAATTGTGTAGCTTTAATACATTACTGAGATATTTTCCGATTTGTTTTATAGTCTTTATGTTTTCGGTAGACATCGGGTTTATGAAGTGGTTGAGTGTCGGTGGATAGCTGTTATGAGGGAAGCAGAGTTGTCGTTCTTGGCTGTACTTGTCACAGACCATCATTACATGATATTCATCCTCAATAAGAGATATATTATTAGTATAGCAACAGGTGAACAGTCTTTCTTCACGTGGGGTATTGAAGTGTCGCCCAGTTTCTATGGCTAGTCTGAAGTTGTTGCATCTAAATCTTGCAATGGCTATTTTATAGTATAATGGTATTTCAGGTGAAAGCAGATATTTTTCAGCATTTAATAGTGACTTGTACTGTGAGTAATAATTGCATTTGGAAGATTCTGAAAGAGATAAGTGCCAGTTCTGAGTCAGACAGTCTTGTAATCTTTGTTTAAAACTATATATAAAAGCTTTTGTATCCCCAATGTCCTGGCTTATCCACACAAAGCCAAATCCATATTGAAAGAGTAGAGCCCTGATGTGAGTAGCAATCATCCAAGGACTTGAGCATGATATAGGGCTATAGGGGGTGTTAAACCTATTCGTAGCGTATACCCCTTGACTGGAAACCTGCTAGAAGAGGAATGACTATAGCAAGTGTTTCCATTGTATCCACGTCAGTTTATAAGGGTATGCCTTATCATTTGACTGACACCGGGTTTCTGAAAGTACACTTGGTTGGTGGAATTCATAACCCTCAGTTGGACCTATTGTATAACTTCAAGTTCATATGACCAGTCAGTGGGAGAGCCGAGTTGTTACAGCGTAGTTGATAACGGTGCATACCATTATTTGTTTAACGCCGTAATATAACACATGCCGGCGGTCTGTAAATAATCGAGTCTGGACCAGACAATCCATTGGTCAATAGCATGAACATCGATCTAGATGGGATACAATAACGTGTCAACCAAGTCAGCGAGTCTGACCACCCGATCCCGTTAGTCGCCTCTTACGACAAGCATGGGATGCTGAAGACCAATTCTGACCCGCCATCTGTATATGCAGTTACCAGTGCTCCGTAAAGGACATAAGTTCGTCCTTGGCAAGATACTCACATTTCAGTTACATACTGTAACTTTTCATACGTTTGTCTCCCAACCTCTCATGTACCTGGTGGACGCTGTTAATTGTTCGTTGGTCGATAAGAAGACGTTCAATCCACACTGGCGATGTCCATGTACTCGATTAAGGATGGCGGGCACTCCGACCATAGTATAAATGTGCTTCGTCATTCAGTCGTTGCCTGTTTTAATCATCTTGACTTTAATTTTGTGACTCTGGAATGCCATGACGTTTTCGTGACCGCAGTGGACCGAATACAGATACGTGCATGAAACAAATTGGATCGCCAGAGCGTTACTCGATGCTTTAAACAGTGCTTCTTACATCAGCTAAACCAGGACGAATCTGGAATTCGAACCAAAGACTCGTAGGTTCTGTCAAACCTAAGGGAAGTACCTCTATACAGCCAATTACGGTGTCCTGGACGACGAAATATAAAAATTACTTCATTCAGCAACTTTTTATTTGTTTTTCTCCATTGTGTACAAATTATTTACATGTATATAATATCATCCACGAGGGAGTATTTAATTACTGGACACCCGGGGGAATTTTGTATGCAGACAATGTGGTCAACCCCTGAAAACCATAGTACGATTTTATATAAACGAACATGGAGATGAAAATTGTTTGTTGGTGTTTTCATTAATATTTCTATTTCTGAGACCCTGTAACAGAAACTGATCACGTTTGCCAACTAAGCAGAGAAATAAATATGCATGTGAACTCGGACGTCTCATTTTTTCCTTTTCAACATGAGTCATCAGAAGATGACAAATCCCTCCGGGCCCTTACAAATTTGAAAGAACAAATCATCTGACTGTTGCTTAATGTCCAACAAGATGAGAGACTGTCTAATATGTCTGTCCGTATAGAAGAGTAGTTATTCAGCTGTCATGGAATTGGGATTCGTAACTTTGTACTTATATGTCACGTACACATCAACATCAACGTCTAACGAACAAATACAAATTTGAAAAATCCTTAATAGCAAAAGGCAGCAGTTGACAACCTGGTTCTTGTTTTTGCAGTTTCATGAAAGAATACTCTTTCGACCTATGGTCCTGACAAACACAACACTATGAACAGATTCAAAATCTAACTTGCTGCCATGGAAACGGACAAAACACAAATTCCTAACACCACAAGTAGCACAAAGGCACAATTTGACAACCAGGTTTCATGGAAGTGAGTGAGTATGGTTTTACGCCGCTTTTAGCAATATTGCAGCAATATCACGGCGGGGGACACCAGAAATGGGCTTCACACATTGTACCCATGCGGGGAATTGAACCCGGGTCTTCGGTCTGACGGGACAACGCTTTAACTACTAGGCAAGCCACCGCCCCTATACATCAAGAATAATTCAAAGTTTTTTTCACAGTAAACAATTGGAAAGACAAAGATGATAATCCTGGTTCGGATCCCCATATAGAACCAATTGGAAAAGCGTGTCCTTGGTGTCCACGACAATCAATATATTCAATATGCTGCATAATTACGTAAATTATGGAAGTTACATTATTATTTCTTATATTGACTGATAATATTTCATCATATAGAAAGAGTATACATCTATATTATAATATTTATATTATTTAAAGCGATTAGACCCTTCCTTGATACTGGCTGAGAAACTAGGTAAAAGTTCAAATGAATATAACGTCAAGCATATTCAGGTTGTGGGCCCTTTGTCACTTCAACATCAGGCATTGTGTTGAACTTTACACATAAATATGTCCCGATACATGATAAGAAATGCATTTTGCTATACATCACTATCATTCAAGTTTATCTTTCTGATATCTTACGTCTGAATTACATCCGTAATCCATTTGGCCTATAAGCTGAATTTGCCCAACGAGGAATTAATAATTAATCTGAATTAATCCAAATGCATACAAATTTATTTTTATCAAAATTATTTAACTCAAATTTTAGCTTTTCAGATGTTGGCAAAACCTTGTTCATATCACCGCGATAGAATGTGTTGTAACATTGCTAATGTGCCGTTGACAGTATTCATTCACATCCCCAGCGATGACATTCATGACCCGCCGAGGTGTTGAACAATGCATGCATGGTTGACCGAGTGGCCCGACATATACCGGAAGATGTCGATTACTACCGAACGAATCTCAATGTGGAGGCCATTATGCATCGAAACGCAGGACACCGTGGAGTGCAAAAACAGCTGTCAAAATGTGTAGTAACCTTCCTATGATTCTCAACTAGCTGACAACAAGGCCTGATGTCTGTTGAATAATGGCAGAGACCCATACGCTCAAAGGAAGATGGAAAAACTCCACCAATCCCCTGCCATTTTTGTGCCGGAGAGAGCTGGGTCCCGATGACTCTCAGCTGGGGCATTCGCTCCTGAGAAAGAGAATCTCGGTAGCTAATAATCTCTATCGACGCGATCTCAAAGCACATTATGGCTGTGTTAACGCAATCGAGTTCTCTCACGGAGGAGGAGAGTGGATTACGTCAGGTAGTCAACCTTGAAAGCCTCATATCTTCATAAATTGTAACGGGACAGGCGCACGAGCAGAAATCGGGCACCTGTCCAAGTCATGTTTTCGTCAAGAGGTAGTCACACTTCCGATAAGTGACGAAAATGTCATCGTGACATAGGGATGGACAATGCCAATCAACGTGTGTTGTTTGTTGGAGAACACAATGCCCCAACGCATGTCCACAGTCCTTCTTTAGTAATCACGTGTAGATATATGACGTCACATTGATATGACGTCACGTTACTGTGATGTAACTCTGTGATATTGTGATATGGCTCAACAATATGAAGTTTGCGACAAAACTATTATTGTATGCATGATTTTTATTTAACATGTCAATGTACAGATACTGAAGTATGGTTATGATTTTGAACAATTAATGGCACTGATTATTATCATTGAAGGAGTCGTTATAGTGGTGTTGGTAGGGCACTGGGCGTGGGGACATTACAAAAGGTACAATATGAGAAAATGATATTTGATTTTTTAAATTGCAGCTGTACATGCATTGTACGTTTTAAATGCATATATTTAGGTTTTGTCTCCATTGTCTGTTATGGACGTTTACTTAGTACGAGGCGTCCAATACTTCTAAGGTGTCTAGAAATTTCTAATACAGTATATTAGATTGAACATGTTCATTGTTGTTATCTTTGTCATTCATTGAGCCCTTGGAGTATGGTGCATTTACTATATAGTCCTAGGCCAAATGTTAGAAAAGTCCCTATCATTTAGGATCTCTCAGCAGCAGTAAAAGCGTTATCCAGTAATTGGTATGACAACTCCCACCCTCCAGAGATTCTTGTCAATGTGGAACTAGACACAGACTGTATCAGGTTATTAAAAACAGACAAGGATTACCCCCGCTGTTGAAACAGTGTCCACATGTTCATAGACCAACTGGGGCGGTGGGGTAGCCTAATGGTTAAAGCGTTGTCTCGTCACGCCAAAGACCCGGGTTCGAATCCCCACATGGGTACAATGTGTGAAGCCCATTTCTGGTGTTCCCCGCCGTGATGTTGCTGGAATATTGCTAAAAGCGGCGTAAAACCAAACTCAGTCAGTCAGGCATAGACCAACTTCATGAGTATTAACTGCATGGTTTAATGGACGGTGACAAGCACTGGTGTTTAATATGATCAGGATATGCAGTATGGGTGATAAGGCCTGGTGTATCATATTACCTGATAATGATCTTATCTCTACATTTGGCCTAGGAGTATATACCAAAACACATTCTGATTTTTTTAGACGGATATTTTTGTTTCCAAAACCAACTGTAGTGGCATAAATAACTGCTCACAGTTTCTTTTCTTGATTCTAAACATGGCTTGTATGACAGCCATATATAATGTGTTAGTTTGGACCAGTTACTTGCCAGTGAGTTTATGCATGAGATGTTATTGTAAGAGAATCACATTTCTTGTCAGACCATATTGTTTCTTTACATTTGCCGTGCTCCCTTTTACTTTGGAGATATCAAGTATACAAAGTTCAGTTGCTGGCTGGAGGAGTGTACTATTAGGTTGAAGGCCGAAGGTCTGGGTTTGATTCATGACACTTATACCATGTGTGAAGTTAATTTGTTGTGTCTGCCATTGTGATATTGCTAAAATGTTGCTGAGAGCTCACTTTTGACTTCATAACCTGTAACCTGTACTAAATCCATCTCTGTATTGAGTCTAGCATGTCCTGCCACTCTTTCAGGAGGGGACCCATGAAGATCTGGGTTAGAATTGGTCTTCAACAACCCATGTTTGTCGTAAGAGGCAACTAACGGGATCGGGTGGTCAGGCTCACTGACTTGGTTAACACATGTCATTGTATCCCAGTTGCGTAGATCGATGCTCATGATGTTGATCACTGGACTGTCTGGTCCAGACTCTATTATTTACAGACTGTCGTCATATAGCTGGAATATTGCTGAGTGCAGCGTAAAACTAAACTCACTCACTCACTTTCAGGAGGGGATGATCGCCGGGTGTTGCTGTGGAACGTCCAGCGAGCACTGTGGGACATCGGGGAGCCCGCCTCCATGAAGGGCGAACACATCAGCAACATCTTCTGTCTAGCCTTCGATCAGGACAACAAGAAAGTCTTCTCAGGAGGCAAGTCATAAACTGCATTACATGTTGATTGCTTTGGAATATATTTGAAAGATAGTTGCTGGACATTTTGTCAAATGATACCATCCTTAATGTTTCCTGTCTGACTTGTGTCAAATTTTGAGGCATGCAAGGTGGCCCAGATAGCATTGCACCTAGCTGTGAAGAGTTGCATCCCTTGGGCATGCCAGAACCCATGATTTGGGGTTTGAATCCCAGTTCTCTTGTTTATTCTGTTAATTTTGGCCTTTTGATTTGACCTTGTGTTGTAAAGTTGCAGAATTCTCCTTGCAGAGGTATCCTTAACATGCTTATTTGCTCATCACGCCGAAGAAGTGGGTTCGATTCCCCACATGGGCAAAATGTGTGAAGCCCATTTATGGTGTCCCCGCCGTGATATTGCTGAAATATTGTTAAAAGCAGCATAAAACTAAACTTGCTCACTTGCTCGCTCACTCACTCACTCATTTGACATGCTTAAGCTTGTTTCTCTCAATCACCATATTCCTTGCCCTGTTACCACAGTTACCATATTGATGAATGTAGCATAAAACAACAAACTATCCCAGTATTCAGCCCTTACTGAGGTATGATTGCTTTTTTTATTGAAAGCCTTGCTCTTTGATCAGTTAGTAAAATCAGACTTTTGATATTTGCAGGTAATGATGAACAGGTGATTGTCCATGACATTGTGACGTAAGTGGCAACTCTTCAATGTTAGTGTACTCATGTAATACTGCCATGGAACTTTGTCTACCCATTGAACATTTTTACTATCCTAATCATGGCAGATGTATGGAGTTATTAAATGACTGATCTTTGGACCTTCTGATGTTATTTCTTAACAAACTTGGAAGTTGAATGCTTGAAATAACTTAAGAATAAATATTTTCCAAAGAAAATGATATGATGTTTCATACTAGTGTAACTACTGATCTAAGGCTCAGCGAGGTGAATTACCTAGTGTTGCGACTTGTTGTTTTCAGAGGGGACACAGTTGATGTGTTCCGCCATGAGGACGCTGTCTATGGACTGTCTGTAGATCCTAACAATATCAATGTATTCGCCAGTGCTTGTGATGACGGCCGTGTTCTCATCTATGACATCAGAGAGCCAGCATCTACAGGTTTGCAAATGATTAGACAAGCTATTCGGACTAAATACAATATATTTTGGTTGATGTCTAGGGCTACAGTAATTTCTTTTTCTGAAGAATTGTGCGTTGTAGTACAGAAATGTCCCCGGGGAATCTTCCTGTGTTCTGAAGTCTGCTTGACAGTGCATGATTGGCTGGAGTCAAAGCATCCATTCTGTGATGTGCAATTTGGAAGTTGTGAATACATAACTTTACAAAAGATCTGGTTTCGTGTATTGGACACATTTGTGTATGCTTTGCTGATTAGGATTAGGATCCTTTTCAGCACAAACATATTGAAACAAATGAATATGTCAACAATCATAATTTCACAGTTATTTAATTGTATACACGCCAAAAACTGGAAAACTAGAAATCAGGAACATTCAGACCATAGTGCAAAAGAAGACCCACCCATTCTGTTGTCAACCAATCAGAAAACAATAGTCTGTTGGTTTTGTTTGTTTGATGCTGCACTCAGCTGCATGGATGCAATCTGTAAATAATCAAGTCTGGACCAGACAATCCAGTGATCAACAACATGAGCATTGATCTACCCACTTGCGATATGATAACATGTATCCAACTAGTTCTCACCAATCCAATGGTCATTTATGTAATTAAGGGATACTTTACTTCTTATGAAAAGCATAAGATTGAGTCATATTAAAGGACGATTTACGAATGAATGTTCAAACATTATTGTGATTGTGACTCATATATAAATTTTGTGTGCCTTACAAATTTATCATTCAATTTCAGAGCCATTTTGTCTTGCAAACTACACGTCATCAATGCATGCAGTTATGTACAACCCTATTGAGCCCCGCCTCCTGGCAACAGCTAATGCCAGGGAGGGAGTAGGATTGTGGGATATACGTAAACCAAAAACGTAAGTCAGGCTACTGCGTTTCTTGTCATGATCATGTGAGCTAGCTGTTTCATATATTTGTTATCTCTTATTAAGGATTCTTGTTTCTGTCATCCATCAAATCTACTAGCCGTTTCATATATTTTTTATCTTTTTTTAAGGATTTTTGTAATATTTCATTGGCTGAAAGTCCCAGAGGAACCATTCATTGGTTTCCTAGTATAAGTAATGAAGTTTTGGCTTGACAGGAAAATATGGCAGCTCAAACACGTCTCAATGAAAGATCAAATTTCTCCTGTTAACAATGTTTTTGCTTTGAATGGCCCAGATACACTGGTTATTGATACAGAACCACTGAGAAGTAACATTGTTAATGGTGATAATTCAAGACTTTGAGGATATGAGGGTAGCTAGCTTTAGTTTTTGCTAGAAGATATGAGGGTCGTAACTCCCATACTTTAACATAGACTTTTTCTAGAAGATCAGGAACGGGCCCTGTAACAGAGAATCTGCACATTGTAAACAACCTCTGAGGTGTCCTTTAAAGCCTTTGATTTAGTAGATTTATAAAAATACATCAGGTTCTTATTAGGTGTATTTCCCCTCTGTCTGCAGTTGTTGCTTACGCTATGGAGGGAGCTATGTTCAACAAAGCTGTATGAGTGTGCGTATCAGTCGTCTGGGCGACAAGGTGATTGCACTGCGTCGCCGTCTGCCACCAGTGCTCTATCGGACACACAGCCCCGAGCCGGTGTGTGAGTTTGACCACACAGGATACTACAACTCCTGTACCATGAAGAGCTGCTCATTTGCTGGAGAAAATGATGAAGTAAGATAATATGTACCATGGAATTCTGTCCATGACCACTTGTGATTTAAAATTTTGAAATGGAAATATATATCGTTTTCATGTTGTCTACCATGAAGAAGCCTTTTACATAAAATCCAAGACCATTTGTAAAGTGAAAATGTGATCAAGTTTTAGCAACCTATATTGGGAAATGTTTTATTGTGTGAGGAATTTGAAGAACCATTTGTGGGCTTTAAACCTGGTGGCGAATATTGGCCTCTGTGAACATGTAGATAAATCCCGGCTTTCACATCATGTACAAACAAACCCTTGAGGTACCATCTTATACTGCATACAGGGAAAGAAAACTTTGTGTCCTCTTCGTGCTATTTGGTGAGAAAGTGTGATACTGTTTTACAGTATTCTGGTGACAAACAAGTATTAGCTGTTGAAATAAAATGTTGAGTATGTGTTGACATCTTGTGTTTCAGTACATTCTGTCTGGATCAGATGACTTCAACTTGTACATGTGGAGGATACCAGATGACCTGTCTCACAGTAGGCATAACCTCTTGCATGTTGTTCTTAGGGCCGTTCTTATACAACTCTTATGTTCTTTTTTCAGTGATTGTCATGATGTCATGCCAATCTCTGATACATTTTCATCCTGATGCTTAACTGATATCATTCACTTGACACGATGAAGGTGTTCACTTGTCATGATAATGGTGTTTGCTTGTCATGATGATGGCATTCACTTGTCATGAAGATGTCCACTTGTCATGAAGATGTCCACTTGTCATGAAGATGTTCACTTGTCATGAAGGTTTTCCTTTGTGATGATGAAAGTGTTCACTTGTCATGATGATGGTGTTCACTTGTAATGATGATGGTGTTCACTTGTCATGAAGGTGTTCACTTGTCATGATGAAAATGTTCACTTGTCATGATGGTGTTCACTTGTCATGAAGATGTTCACTTGTCATGAAGGTGTTTACTTGTCATGAAAGTATTCACTTGTCATGATGAAGTGTTCACTTGTCATGATGCTGATGGTGTTCACTTGTCATGAAGGTGTTCACTTATCATGAGGGTGTTCACTTGTCATAAAGATGTTCACTTGTCATGATGAAGGCATTCACTTGTCATGATGGTGTTCACTTGTTATGGTGAATGTGTTCACTTGTCATGAAAGTGTTCACTTGTCATGGTGTTCACTTGTCATGATGGAGGCATTCACGTATCATGAAGATGTTCACATGTCATGATGGTGTTCACCTGTCATGATGAAGATGTTCACATGTCATGATGAAGACATGCACTTGTCATGATGGTGTTCACTTGTCATGATGAAGACATGCACTTGTCATGAAGATGTTAATTTGTCATGATGAAGACATGCACTTGTCATGATGGTGTTCACTTGTCATGATGAAGACATGCACTTGTCATGATGGTGTTCACTTGTCATGGTGGTGCTCACTTGTCATGATGAAGGTGTTCACCTGTCATGATGAAGACATGCACTTGTCATGATGAAGACATGCACTTGTCGTGATGAACACATGCACTTGTCATGATGAACGTGTTCACTTGTCATGATGAAGACATGCACTTGTCATGATGAATTTGTTCACTTGTCATGATGGTGTTCACTTGTCATGATGAAGGTGTTCACCTGTCATGATGAAGACATGCACTTGTCGTGATGAAGGTGTTCGCCTGTCATGATGAACGTGTTCACTTGTCATGATGGTGTTCACTTTTCGTGATGGTGTTCCAGAGGTACAGATAAGCAGCGTATCTGCGTAAATTACACAAATATTTATGTCAATACTCAATTCCTATTAAGTCTATTGCGTACAAGTACGCTTTAAGTTTTGTAAATACTCAGTAAGTTTGATCTTACATGCGTACATTCAAACATAGATCAAATAACTAAGGTAATGTTGAGAGGTTCTATTTCAGCACATGAGCTTGGCAACTTGCAGTATTTCTTATTGTTTCTCATATTACAGATCAAATATAAATAACAAACATATAAACAAACTTTTATACTTTATCATATTTTCACAATTAGTGGAAAATTGCAAAATACCCAATTGAGTTTGAGTGAGGTGGGTACAATTTATTTGGTTACTCAAAGGAAACTTAGGATACCCAATTGAGATGAACACAAGTGAGTACATAACTCAATGACCCAAAAAGTTATCTGTATCTCTGGTGTTCACTTGTCATGATGAAAGTGTTCACCTGTCATTAAGTTGTTCACGTGTCATGAATGTGTTGACCTGTCATGATGAAGGTGTTAACCTGTCATTATGGTGTTCACTTGTCATGGTGTTCACTTGTCATGAAGGTGTTCTCTTGTCATGATGGTGTTCACCAGTCATGAATGTGTTCACCAGTGATGAATGTGTTCACTTGTCATGGTGGTGTCTCACCTGTCATGAAGGTGTTCGCCTGTCATGATGGTGTTGACTTGTCATGATGGTGTTCACTTGTCATGGTGTTCTCTTGTCATGATGAAGGTGTTCACCAGTCATGAATGTGTTCACTTGTCATGATGAAGGTGTTCACATGTCACAATGAGGATGTCTGTCATGAATGTGTTCACTTGTCATGAAGATGTTCACTTGTCATGATGAAAGTGTTCACTTTTTGTGATAAGATGTCTGTCATGTTGGTAATCAAGAAAATAGTCACTGGCTATGAATATCTGTACTTTTTTATGAATATATTTTGTTTTAATAATGATGTTTCTCCTGTCACCTTTGTAAACAAGTTTAACACTCTTTACTATGACCTGGATGTATGTTGTCATTTTTCCAGGACAGTACACAAGGGAGGCTCACATGGTTCTAAAAGGTCACAGGTCAATTGTAAACCAAGTCCGCTACAACCCTTCTGATGGGCTTGTACTGTCATCCGGTGTGGAGAAAATTGTCAAGGTAGGATGTCATTGCTGTAGTTCCTGTTTGTCATTTCTAGTGGCAACACTTACAGTTAACTGGGAATATAATGAGCAGTCACACTGTGTCCTGTGTGTTTGAGGTCAGTACCACAGATATGTCGTTAAATAATGTGGTATTCACCATATCAGGACAGTCTTGAATTACAGGTTTCTGTTGGTGAAAAATCTTGTCTTCAGGTCAGGTTGAAATAATAACATGAAATTGGAAATTGTAAAATGACTGCATTTGTCTGAAGATAGTTTTTGACTTGTAGGAATTTATCATTGAAAAGTGTGACCCTTTTAGTTGATGCCAAATATCATATTGTTTGTTGATATTAAAGTGATTAGTTGTTTTATCATCTCCTAATTCTCATTGCTTTAGGTTGGTGATTTTGTAAACCACATTGAAAAGTAAAAGGCTGTATCTGCAGGCCCCCATGATTTAGCTGTAATATTGCTGACTGTGCATACACTCAACTGCCGACCCATGAATATCCGGGTTAGAATTGGTGTTCAGCAAACCGTGCGACTGGCAGGATCGGGTGGTCAAGCTCGGTGACTTTGTTGACACATGTCATCGTATCCCAATTGTGTAGGTCAATGCCCATGATGTTGATCACTGGCTTGTCTGGTCCAGACTCAATTATTTTCAGACCGCCATCATATAGCTGCAATATTGCTGAGTGCGGCGTTAAACAACAAACCAATCAACCACTTACTTGTCCTTACCTTTGTCAGGTTTGGAATCCCTTCCCGATGCCCAATAGTAGTGGTGACCTTGAGAGGAGCAACACGTCTGACCTCAGTGAGAGGCCAGTATTCACGCCAGAGGAGTACATTAATTTGGTGCTACGTAGTGGACATATAATGTCACATGATTACAGCCACCAATCGACAGAGGAGGATCCTCGCATGATGGCTTTCTTTGATAGTCTGGTTCAGGGTGAGATGGACATGTCATCAGATGACCTTTCTAGTAACGAGGAAGAGTTGTACGAGAGAATTGTACAGGTGACACGATCTGAAGTTGATGCTAGTGAACATGAAGTGCAGGATGAGGTGAGCTCAGTGAATTCTGGAGAGAAGAGAGTGACTTTAGTCCATTTACATTAGCATTTGCAAGTGTCATGGCTGCTCAGACTTCTGAAGGTTCTGGACACACACGTCTGCTCGATGCACAAGATTCTAATAATTCTGGAGCAGAAGATGCAAGGGACAGTAATGACCAAAGATCAGGAAGTCGGAGGAGCATAGCAGAGATTATTGCACAAAATAGGAAAGAAGTACTGAAAGCTATAGAAACAAAGCAAAAAACTGTGACAAGGAAAGAAAGGACTTCCAGATCGAGTGCTCGGGCTACCTCAACTTCAGACTCAGACACCTCAGATGAGGAGCCGTCTGTTAAAAAGTCCAAAAGTTCCACAGTTATAAATGACTCTACCAAACTGCCAGAGAGGCAGAAAGTAAAGTGCCATCTGAAACGGTTGAGAGAGTTACGCAACCAAGCAATGAACAGCGACTCAGAAAGCAGTGATACTGGTACGTCTGCTAAAAGACTCCACGTTGACAGTGAAAGCAGTGCTGCAGAAATGGATAATTCAGTTTCAGAATCTAATTTGTATGATAAGAAAAACACAGAGCAAAGTGTTTCCTGTACCAAAGATTGTGGAGGACCAGGTCTTGGGCCTTACCTCCATGAAACAGAATCAGGCCACGGGTCACGGCTTGGGGTGCCCCTCAGAGAAGTCCTCATCTCAAAATAGCAATACTGGACTTCCAAAGGCTGACCATCAGTTGGACTCCATAACATGTACCAAAAATACAGATGGTGTGATAGACAAGGAATTGCGGAATAATATAGATGATTGTGTGCCATCAACAAGTAAGTGTGATTCAGACTCGTGTAATGGAAAAAACAAGGAGAAATCTAGGAAGAAGCTGAGAAGCAAAAGTTCCAACTGTTCTGAGGAAACAGCAGATGTGTCAAATTCTTGTGATCAGAATAATGAAGAAAGTAAGGAACCACTCTGGAATGAGTTTAAGCGGTTTAAAAATAGGTTGGAGCGAGCCAGGCGATATTATCGTAAGCATAGCAGTAGTCAGCCGTCTAGTGACGATGATTAATTCCCTGTAAAATGACAGTGACTGTCAGACATATGTGATAGTAGAGTACCTCAGTATAAGAAATATTGCTTCTATATATTTTGTTTTCTTTATTTGTGTGCTTTATCTCATTAACTAAATGCTTCATTTTGATGACAGATATTCACAATTCAGTGTAAAAGGCACATGTGGTCACATTTTATTTTGCTGTTGCCATGGTTACCTGCCTAGCCTGTATGTCATGATGTTCCAAGACATACAGTACACAACCCAAGTGTAGACAACTTCTCTTATTTCTTGGATATTTATTAAAAACGTAGGGTGAAGGATGGTCAAAATAAATCAAAACAAATTGAAAAAGTTTTCTTTTGTGATGTATTATATATATGAAAATGTATTGAAACATAATGATTCCAACACACTCACATGTTTTGGGGGAATTATAATCAATCAGGCTAGAGCTATTAATTGCAGACTTTCCAAGTATTGGTTACAACAATAGAGGTGTGATGTTGATAATGACACAATAGGGAAATGTGACTTGGGTTTTGATTCCCCTTCTAAAGGGAAGAGCATTTAAACTTATGAAATAGAGTGAGTGAGTTAGTGATAGTTTTATGTTGTTTTTAGCAATATTCCAGCAATATCAAGGCAAAGGACACCAGAAATGGGCTTCACACATTGTATCCATGTGGGGAATCGAACCTGGGTCTTCAGCGTGACAAGCAGACGCTTTAACCATAAGGCTACCCCACCGCCATATATGCATTATGACTGGATATGAATCATATCATATGCTCAGGACTTACATTGTATTGGTGCTTCATCATATTGTTACACCTCTGTATGTCAGCATTTCCCACATTTACAGTGTGCGAAATTTACGCTGGTCCTGTGGTCCCTGGCTTAGTAGAAATTCATCAGGACCATTAAATGATAAGTTTGCAGTGGTTCTGGTTGCCAGTGAATTTTGTATTGATACTTAAGTAAACCTACGAATGTTATTTTGGACCAGTGAAGTACAGACAGGACCACTGATTATTGTCCACTCACTGGTCCTGTGGTCAAGTGGGAAATTTTGAAAGGTTTCTTTCCCACAATTAGGTAGCACACCAGATGACAGGAATACTGTTTTTAGAGGCATTAATACAACTTGCTCAGTCTTCAACCAAGTCTGGGTGTTTAAATACATGTCTGTTCAAGAATATCCATCATAGTGAACCAATGAATAAACAATGAATAAACAGACATACAGACTGTGAACAGTGTCTAGTCTGGCAAGTGATGTTGACTATAAATCTACTTAAGTATCTCTTCGAGACATCTTTGTAATCACCTTTCAAAAATGGGCCATGTCATCAAATTATACCAGAGACCATATATTATATGGTCTCTGATTATACTAACACTTGTAATTGCCACAGGCTCATTAACAACTTTGGAAATCTATCCTGTCATGTTTCGTACCCATGGTAAATGTACCATGACATCCCGCTACTGTGACCAACTTACTGACATTCTTCTTTAGAGCCCTTTCTCATGCAGTGACGATATGTGAACCTATCTATCTGCTTGTGTAACCTCACCTTCTGTTGCAGTATATTATTCCGCGTTACAATAGGTTATGTATAGCTGTCAGTGGAAACATGAAGTCACACGTACTGAATGAAATGTTTGAGGTCTGAAATAGGTATAATAAAATGACAAGAATAGTTTTCCCCTTTGTGTTCATTGGAGTAGGAAACATTATACTCCAGTAAACTCAAACAAAGTCAAATCTTCATGATATTAGATTACATTTTATTAGGCTGTTTAGTGAACTCCAAGTTGTACTTTTCAGGGTGGAGTCCCACTCTTAGTGCAGGCACTAGCACAATATGTCAGCAAGCTGACCCTCTCAGCCACCAAGGCTCCCACAATAATAGAGCTGTGACGATAGTATCGATAATCGTGATACTTTTTCTGACAATAAATATATCGATACTATTTTCCGTATCATGATATGTATCGTTGACCTTAAAATTGTGAATTTTCACCAGAAATTGACGGTTATGTCAAAATTTACACTGTTTCTTGTTATCAAAAACATTTTTTTAAAGAAAATAACTAAAGTTAGCATATCGTGATATGCATTGTATCGAATCGTATCGTTCCATGATATCGCAATACATATCGTGAAATGTCTGTATCATCACACCTCTACACAATAATGGTAGTCAGAGGTCTGGAAGTAAGTTACATCACACACTTTGATGTACTGATAAGTGTAAACTGTAAACCGAATCCTGGATGGACCTTAAAAAGTATCTAGAATATGTACATTATCGAGAATGTGTAATCCTAAATATAGCATAATAGTAATGTCAAATATATAATATACTACTCACACTTTGCTAAGGATCACAAAAATTCACAACTTTACTTCATAATTTCACAACTTTACTTTTAGATTCATAATTTGAAATAGTATCCATTTACAACTGGATAAATAATAATATGGTAACTCCTCTTTAGGCAAACAGTCACTTTAATCTAACCCTATGCACTTGATACATGAGTAACCATAAAAATGGTTTTCATGGCACCAATCAACCATTTTGCAAATCATGGAAGAGTCATTGACAAGTACACAACACCTGTCAACACCAGCAGGTATGGGATCCACAAGATGAAATGACACACTGAAACCTGGGATGCATGCTTACAATAAGCTTAGATATTTAAATCCAATTTGACCCCACATCATAGTTTTCTGTTGAATCCATGATTTGATCTAGCAAAGTGTGAATAGTATATTACAAATTATATAGAATTGTATGAAATGAAAAGTAAATGTTTTTTTTGAGAATGTGTGATTGTAATGATTTCTGTCTTTGACAAAGTATAATAATGTACAATGTAATGGCAACTAGAAATGCCAGATATGTCAAGTCAGTCCTATATTCCAAATGTTTGGTCATCAGATTCAAAGTATATGCCCACTTCCTGTTGAGTCTGGGGTGGTGGTTAAAACATTCACCCATCACACTGAAATTCCCAACATGGATGCCATATGTGTGTCCCCTTCCTTGATATTGCTGGAATATTGCTAAAGGCACCATAAAACCATGCTCTCTCACTCTGATCTGATGTGGATATTGGCTCTCACGTAGAGTTATTCAAAGAGACTTAAACACAACTCACTCTTTCTGATCAGTGGTCAGGGCAATAGCACAGCAGTCATGGCATTAGGTATCTCTCTGCAACTGAAGCTGGTTTGGTGTACTTTTGCACCCAAGACACTGCTCATTACTGTCTGATAACTCAAATATTTGGAGGAATCATTTGGATGATAAGTATAATAAAAACTTTGCATCTTTTGATGCCAAAGACCTGGATATTTTACCAAAACAGATCAACCTTCGAGTTTTGGACTTATTTTGACTTGTGTTGATATATTTTGCAATGAAAGTCTGTCCGGTGAGGTTCTCTGTATGTTGCAGGTAGTAATATTACAGCCGTGTCACAATTTGCTGACTGGACAGGACTGGACAAGTCTGTGTTGAGGTTGATAGCTTGACCAATGACCCAGTTCCTTTTGACAGGATGAGACACGTCTGGGTCTTGTTGCACTAAACAATCTTCAGACTATAATGATTCACTTGCTTGACTTACTTACCTACAGCACACATATATGACAACTTAGTCATCACTATTATTGGTAGTAGTGATAACCATAAACCATTGGCCATTTTCAAACCTTCAGCTCCGAGTTGACATGGTTATGAAGATTTATGGTCTTGTTCCTCATTGAAGCCCTCTTAGCAGTACATACTTCACAGTATTAATTAGAAGAGTGCATTTAAGGGTAATGCGTGAGTGAACGTAGCTAATCTATTTAGTAACTGGTGTAACCTCCTTGAAATGATGGTTGTCTGATAAGTAGTTTCTAAATATAACCAAATATTGATGCTGCAAGTACTTGTTTGTCTTGTTTTGTTGAAGAGTGAAAACATGTGCTCTGTTTAATGTATGATTAAAGAATACATATCCTTGTCAAATACCAGTCATGTTATCATTGTCCACTTTGGATACATGTGAGAGACTTAAGGAGTGAGTGAGTGTCTTAGAGCAGTATTCCGGTGTCAGCTTCATTGTCGGATGAAATGCAGGGCTCATCTGAATTTGATCCCACAACCAAGGTTTCTGGCATGCCCAAGGGGCCCAAGTCTGCCAGTTGAATTGTAACACCTTAGTTGTAATACCTTAGTTGACTGAGTGCCCAAAACATCATGTGCTCCACGTTCTAATCTCAAATTCTCGCCCAGTCACAACAGAAGATTCAGCAATATGGTAGTGTTAACCATAACAGTGATCGATTTTAAGATCAAGGTATTTGTCATCACCATCACCATCATCATCATCATCATCATTTATTCCGTATGGATGGCCATGAGGCAAATAGTACAAGGTGTAAATTATGAGTGAACATACATACTGCGCCACAAACAGAGTTCATTTGAATTTAACATAATACATTTACATTAATTCTTAGTTTAAACACCATTTCAATGAAAATACAAAGGTTAAACAGCTTAACGTTATCAACATTGATGAACAAGTAGATCAGTTTATACATATTTGGGTGGTAATAATAATATGCTGGAATATGTATTTGTTTGTAATTTAAATTTTATTTCTGAATCCCTGTTACAGTCAAAACTAAGCAGCCAGGGGACAGCTCAGTCTGAAGATATACAGTAATGTAATGGGATACAGGTGGAATTGTTTACGAAACAAGACAATCCATTCACTCACCATTCACACAAGTACAAGATTATTTATAATTATCAAACATATTAATAATATAATTAATTCAGTCGTCTTTGAATAAGCCATGATATAAGAGCCATTTCGAATAAAATTCGGCGTTTTTCAATACTATATCTCAATCTCAACTCACTTCGGAACTGAGCAATATTTGGTAAAACATAATTGTTGCTGGAATATATTTGATGCGCAATTCGTTATAAGCTGGGCATACTAGAATAACATGAAGTTCATCTTCTATTGATCTGTGTTTTACAATAAGAACAAGATGTGTCTGGGTTTTTTCATAATATCTATAAGAAGGTATTTTTTGTTAGCCTGCTTCGCTTTTAGGGGTTTGAACAAGTACAGGTCGGCTCGGAGTCCGTATACTGTATCATATATGAGTCAGCTGGTATATGTTACACCAGGGATATGGTATCTCACCTCCGTGGGTTTTGAAAGCACTAGCATGCACTGAATATTTTACGATCACTTCACTTACTATACATGTAAAGTACGCGTGAAGGGTCGAGAGTGATCTCCCTTCGCTTATGGTAGCTGCTCGTATGAGTAGGCTACGTTGAATTTGTGTTCTAAATACGACTTTATGAACGTATACGCTAGTCTAAAAAATAAATAAATAGACGCACACACGTGAACGCGTAGTGTTCCGTTTATCGTGGGAGAGAAGAAGATCACAGCCTTTTAAACTAAGGTAATCCCCACAACAATCCCTTATTCAAAGTCTTGTCATCTGATTTGTAGGCACCAAAACTTAATAAAGATTCCAATCACTGGGCGTACAATGCAGTGGATTTCGAAGTAACCAACTGTATAAGATTGATCCACCGTTCCAGAGAACCCATGTGTTCAGATTCAGATTTTTCAGATTGAGCTTGAGCGGTTCGAACAGGGCTATATATGGTCTAATGAAGAACTTTCCCAGATAGCATTCAGACGTTGGCCCAACGTTGGTAATGTTGGCAAAACCATTGCCAACGTCTGAATGCTATCTGGGTTATTAGTTAATTAGTTTACTTTATGTTATAACTTGTATTATAATCATGATATGGTTTATCCATACATGGGTCAGCTGCCTCTACTATCGTTGATGTCGCCTAGTCCTTGTTAGATCGAAAGATAAAGTCTGTATGACCTTCCTCATCATTTATTCAGGTATAATTAAGAAGAACATGTGCCTGAACAAAGTATCTTAGTGTCCCCATCACATGTGGACCTGTACACTGTCGCACATGCAAGATACACCCTTTTACTGGTAAAATCACACACATGAACAAGTGTAAATCCTCTGACACATGCACTCGACAATCATAAAGAAACACATCACCTCGTATATACATTGACAGTCAACTACACGTATGAAACACCCTCTCATACTTTCACACAAGTACACATGCAATATATATCCTCCAGGCATTACACCCTATCTCACAGACATGACAGATCCTCCTGCACATATACGCACACCCTTTACCCTCCCCCACCTAAAAAAACAAAACAAACAAAAAAACAAACAAACACATACTCTCACGCAAGGCACACCCTCTTATCACATACACACGACGGAATAGAAATCTACGAGGAGATTCTCCTCCAGGAGGCACTCTACTTAACACCTTCCTGAAATGATGCACCTCTCAGTCCTCCACGAATCTGTCGTCGTCCTCGTAGGCTCAGTAGTCACCGTCGTCGTCACTAAGGGCAAGATAGTAATCGACGTAGGTAATGGTCACTGGGGTGGGGAATGTCTCATCGTGGTTCGGGCGGGCCCATGCAAAACACTCAGGGGTTCTCAGACGCAGAATGGCGTTTACATAGGTGAGGGGGAAAGGAGGACGAAGACAATATGGTTAGTGGGTGCGGTTCATGGGACGCTTCCGGAGAAAACCATATGTGATAGCCTCAGATTACACCTGTTGCCGTTGTACAAAGCAACCTTAGCACTACTCCAGTCGTATGTCTGTTATGGTATGGAAGTTACGATCATCTTAGCGCTAAGATCGCTTTGTACAACGGCACCCTGGTCGACTGCGAACGAAATGTAAGCATGGAAATGGTATGGGGCTATTTGTCAGGACAACATAACAGACAGTGGGAATAATTACACATGTCAAAGGTATGCCTAACAGGGTATCAAGACCGATGAAAGAAGCAGGCTGTTCCACCAAGCTAACACGGATGTACATGGGATATATACCCAGTCGGATTCCTCATCCAACGACGACCATTAACTCGTAAGAGTGACATGATGCCGTATCATATCCTCCCGTGTTGAAATAACATGATGTTTTGTTTTGTAATCTTCGGTAACTACACACACACACACACACACACACACACACACACACACACACACACACACACACACACACCAAGAAAACATTCAAATACACACAAACACGTATATAATGAAACCTCGTAAACTCAAAGTCGTACTAAAAGAATTCGAGCCATTCCCCTGAAAAACACTACATTAAGTCTGTATAGTCTTCTTTATTTCCTGGGGTGGTGGGGTAGCCTAGTGGTTAAAGCGTTGGCTCGTCACGCCGAAGACCCGGGTTCGAATCCCCACATGGGTACAATGAGTGAAGCCCATTTCTGGTGTCCCCCCGCCGTGATATTGCTGGAATATTGCTAAAAGCGGCGTAAATCCAAACTCAGTCAGTCAGTCTTTATTTCCCATACTAAACCGTGTTATCCTGTCGGAGAGCTAGTCCTATTCTGCCCTGTGAATGGCTGGAGGAGAGAGAGACGCGCGCGTTCAGTATTCCCAGCGTTACCTTGTATGCTGATGTACTTGTCAACCTGCTCCTATAACGGCGTGACGTGAGATTCAGAATTAGTTGTCTGTCAGGAACTAACAGCCAGTTTACCATTTTGTCGAGACAGATTAAACTGACACCGAAGGCCGTAGTCATAGCAACCACGAAGATTGATTAAACGCGTAACTTTCATTATACGTTTTCTCTCTTTTCAAATCAAATATAACATCTCACTGACAGACACTATATTTATCATAAAATGTAAATGCTATACAGATAAATACGAGGTTGTTCAGGTCGTCAAACAGTTACGCGCAGCATATTCTATATTTGGGATTACCTTTTCTCAGTAAAGTACAGGTTCTAGTACCTTTTGGGGTTAGGCCCCATCCAGGATTCGAAAACACACTCTCAAAGTGAAGCACCTGATCACCAGCACACAAAGTCAGCGAACTAATCCATGACAGTTGTGGTCTGACTCCGCGACACAGCGGAGAAGGACGCTGCTCATAACATCAGTCACCGGAGTATCTGACCCAGACGCGATTGTATGCTTGGAGTTTTCCCGAATGCAGCGTTAAACAACATCAAAACTAAAAAACATGCATGAGATTTTTATAAATTAAATTAAAATTATAAATGGTTGTTTGTTTCATGCATCACCAATTCGTTATCTAAGTAAGTCACCGTATCACAATTGCGTGGATCGATGGCAATAATGTAAATCCGACTGTGTAAGTATCCCATGTGTACAGGACCGCCTCCGTGGTGTAGTGGTTAGAGCGTCCGCCCGGAGAGCGGAAGGTCGCGGGTTCGATCCCCGACCGCGTCATCCCAAAAGACGTTAAAATATGGTACTTGTTGGTCCCTGCCAGGCGCTCGGCATTAATGGGTTCATCAAGGACTGGTCGGCTCGGAGTCAGTATAATGTGTCTGAGTGGGGTATTCATGCTTCACTGCGGCATTGGTATCTCAGTGGGCTAGCACTATAAAACCAGCTTAAGTCTGGGCTAGTACAAGCAGCCGCACATACACATACACACGCATGCACGTCGTCATATGAGCGAAATATTCTCAAGCACGACGTTAAACGCAATTTCACCTCACCTCACCTCACCCATGTGTACAGTACACAACCCTGTGCACTTAAAAGAACCCACGAATCAGTTGGTATATGACCAGATGGTGGCCACATGAATACGTGCAAACACCTAGTTGCGGGTACAGCAACGTGCAGTAAACTTGGACAAAGGACTGTGACTACGTGTCCCAGTCCACCCAGCTGTGAATGGGTATCTGGTAAGGATGGGAAAGCCACATTAACTCTTGCGTTGTATGATCCCCAGGGAGTTGAGATTGATAATACATTGTGCTGTTTGAGACTGACATCCAATGATCGAGGGAAAAACAAAGCGCCTTTGAGCAGGTGATCTGGATATTGGCGCTATGTAAATATATATAAATTGAATTTTTTTAATAAATCACTTGATTGTATGGTCCAGACTTTACAGACCGACGTCTTTATAACAGGCCAGAATCTTTGTAACAATGGTAAGTTTTGGTTCACTTACAATTAAATCATTACTGTTTGCACTTAGAGAATGTATTGTGTTATCACTGTCTTACAGTTACATGCTATCTGTTGATGTTTCATGGATCGATACATTATAACATTTGATGTTATGATATATGATTAAACGGTTACGAGACGGTTTCTATATCACGTCAACCTTCGACCCGCTTATAACCTCGAGGACTGAAGGGGCGGTGGGGTGGCCGAGTGGTTAAAGCGTCGCTCGTCACGCTGAAGACCCGGGTTCGATTCCCCACATGGGTACAACGTGTGAAGCCCATTTCTGGTGTCCCCGCTGTAATATTGTTGGAGTATTGCTAAAAGCGGCGTAAAACTAAAGTCCCTCACTCACTCGAGGACTGAAGGGCTGAGGATCTTGAGTTCTTATCTGGTATAATATCAAAACTGTGATATCAAAAACTCAGTGCCAGTTAGGCATATACATATCATTTTCTATCCTTATGCGTAAATCGATGCTCATGACGTTGATCACCGGATTGTCTTGTCCAGACTCAATTACTAACAGACTGCCGTCATATAGCTGGAATGTTGCCGAGTGTGGCGTTAAACAACAAACATATACAAACAAACACCATGAAGATGCAAGGCTATATTTAAAAAAAACAATCCCGTAAACTTATAGTTTCTCATTATCATGTTCTGTGTGATGGAAAAAACGATAGTATATAGACATTTGGCTGCATTGCTTATCTTTAATGAAGATCTGATATAGATTGAAGAGATGTACCTGAAGGTCTAGTTATGATATCAGATGGTTCAAAGGTCTACCTTCATTAAATTAAATACACTAAATGTATTCGGGAATATTAAGTAATATGTTTACAAGAGGCGACTCATGAGATAGCTCACCCAGGCATGACGTCTCCTGCTTCACCCATTCAGTCAGCTACCCCAGTAGCCAAGCAGTTGTATTGTCCAGGTCACGTGACAGTTGTATCAGCGAATTTGTGTGTAATCACAGTCTCCCTGACCTGTGAGTAAGCGGCATTATATAGGACGGGGCTCAACGCTAATCTCCGACAAGACGAGCACGTTCCATGTCGACTGTTGGGTGTCACTGAATTTACCACCGCTCCATGTTGTGTGGATAAACTCAGGAGAGATGCTGAAGGTTTGTGAACAGGATTTAGGATTCAGATGACTTTGATGAGGATGTTAACTTGTATCTAAATGGCATGATATACACACTTACGCTTCGCGTGAACAGGGTACATATACTGTGTTTTCTTGAAGAGCAGCAGACACCGTGTTGGGTATAACTTTGACAGTTCGTATTATCGCAAATCCGATCGGAACACACATGCCGTTTGATAACAAGAATGCCTCGGCAGACGACATAAGTCCGGCGTTCTTAATCAGACGACAACACTAATGATAGTCCTCTGTACGCGGACTGTACCCATTTGGATGTAGGTGGTGCGATTCGGACATGCCACTAATGGCGATGGATATATGATATTCTGACGGAGCAGACGACATTGCTCTGAAACTATTTAGGATGATATCCACCCAGACGTCACCGAGTCCCGATCCTTCAAGAGATGACGGACACCCAGACGAATGGACGACTGACAGCGAGGACACAGAGGTTGTGACACCCGGGGATAATGACAGGAACCCTTTGATAGATGGGCGTCATCCCCACACAGCCAACCCTCAGACCAGACACCTTCTGAAACAAGAAAAGAAGGAAAAAAAGAAAGTACGAAACAAGAAGGTAAGCTCCGAAATACGTTATCCAAAGAAGTTGTATTGGTAAGAGTTCCTCCCATCCCCATCCCAAATAATATTTATAGATATACTAAACTTATTAACAAACTTAACACAACAATTACTAGAGAACTCATCCAAAAGTCAAAATTTAAGTTAGGGTTAGGTTTAGGGTTAGAGTTAGGTTTAGTTAGGTTTAGTTAGGTTTAGGGTTTGGGGAACGGAACTAGTGATTTTCAGTGCATGAGTACTTAAAAAGGAGGACCCTCCACAAACTATCCATTATCCATTGTAGACTTCACCCCCAAACACTGCGTCACTCCAGACGCATGTCAGTTTTTAGCTCACCTGAATCGGATGTTCTTTTGAGTATATATAGACGGACAGATAGTTTATTAGCGTCTCACCTCATTTTGCCGGTGTATGTACATAAATCTAAAGTCACAGGAACTGTAAACGGTACTCGTGACAGTTGTACACAATGTAAGCCTATTGATATAACAAAGCATATATTATATACAGGTAATGAAAATATAATATAGCTGGAACAATTTTAGAATTAATACAGGAATTGCTGAGTTTCATCTAAAATATTAATACACAATGCCATTTAATGTAACACGTGTTATATTTGTAAAAGTAATCCCGAATATAACATGTGTTACATCTAAAAAATATTTGAAAGTTTTTTAACATATATGCTTACAAGTTGAGTGCTACATCAAATAGAACGAGTTTTGATTAAGCTGTCGGACAAAGGAAAGTACTAGTATTCACCTGCGGTTGATGGTTGCTAAATATGGTAGGCTACACAAGAAATGATTAAACAAGGGGGATAGTTCTATGGATATACAACTTCTATATGGCAATGTATGCACTTTTTCGATGTAGATGCTAACACCGTTATGAAGCTTATACACTTACCTGCCTGATAAAACAATGATAGCGGCGTTAGTATCTACACCAAAACGGCGCATATATCGTAATGAAGAAGTTGTATATTCAGAGACTTTTGTCCAGCCGTATGTATGCATTTCTTCAGGGAAAGGGACGATGGGATAGCCTGGTGGTTGTTGAAGCACTCGCTCGTCATGTCGAAGATCTGGGTTCGATTCCCTACTTATGTACAATGTGTGAAATCTGGTGTCCCAGGCGGCAATATTGCTGGACTATTCCTAAAGGCAGCTTGAAACTATACTCACTCACTCACTCACTATATAATAAAACCTGTCGTATGTCAACCTTCAATGTCAATGGAAAGCACAAAAATAACCTGTAGTGGTTGGTCCTTTACAAAGTAACGCCATTTCATTACTTATGTAAATTACTATGTGTAAAATCCGTTTCTAGTGTGCAGGCTGCTGAATATGGCTAATGGCAGCTTGAAACTATTCTCACTCACTCACTATATACATGTAATAAAACCTGTCGTATTCTCTACCCCATCACCCCTTTTCACACCAAGACAACTGACATGTACATTTGTGTAAGATATGTTAGTCTGCAATATAAGTCTGCAGACATCTGTGAACACCGGTGGCCCAGACGTCTAACGTAGCGCATATTGCTGTTCAGAGTTACGTATATTCGGTACGCCAGACACCTCTGATCGTGAGTTCGAATCCCGGTTCGTCTCGATTATATTTCCCAGGTTGGTCATCACCATACCTTTACTCTTAGGTTTGACCAAGTGTTAACCATCAAAGACCAGGGTGCCGTTTCACGAAAGCCTCTTAGCGCTACGACGTCCTAAACCACGTCGTAAAGCAGCTCTTAATTTTTTGTATCGTTCCACAACCTCGTTAGGATGAGAGAGCCACAATAAACTCGGTGCGCCTAGTGACAGCAAGAGTTGTATTACTCCCAGGGAGTTGAGATTGATAACACGATGTGACGTTGAGATTGACATCCAATGATCGAGGGAAACAAATACCATCGCCTTGAGCAAGCAATGGTTGCGTGGATCTGTGCGCTATATAAATATCCTATAATAAAAAAACCTACAATGTCAATGGACAGCACAAATATAACCTGTAGTGGTTGGTCCTTTATAAAGTAACGCCATTTCATTACTCATGTAAATTACAATGTGTAAAATCCGTTTCTAGTGTCCAGGCTGCTGAATATGGCTAAAGGCGGCGTGAAACTAAACTCACTCACTTCATTAACAAGAAGATATAGTTAAGAGTTCTAATACAAATCGGAGCCACGCTTCCCTTTTGCAGTACGAATATACGTGTCTACCCAGTGTTGAAAGTGCTATAAACGCGTAGCATGTCTGGTGTGCGATGGCCAATAGTCGAATCCTGTCGTCACTTGACACATGGCGGTGGGGTAACGTAATTATTAAAGCGTTATTTCGTCACGCCGATTGTACTCTGTGTCAAGCTGTGGGAGGAAAACATTGCTGATATAATGTCTAAAATAACTTGTGACATGTTCATGAATTGTCAAACCCGCCCACCTGTATCAATTTATGCTGTATGTAATCGTCGATATAGGTTGTAAAATGTAAGGTTAATAAAGAATTAAATTGATCGTGAGTTCGAATCCTGGTTCGTCTGGATTATATTTCTAGGCTTGGCATCACCATACCTGTGATCATACGTTTGACCAAGTGTTAACCATCAAAGACCAGGGCCTAGATTTTCCAACCTCTCTTAGCGCTAAGATAGTCGTAAGTGCCATACATTAACATTAACTTACGACTATCTTAGCGCTCAGAGAGATTCGAAAATCTAGGCCCTGGATCATTCAGGACTCGCACAACTTAACGACACACCGTGATGAAACTTGAGTAATTATTGTCATTGTTAAACGCCAACTCACTCACTCTTACAAGAAGAATAAACGAGCAGGCGCGTAGCAAGCCAATTGTTTCGTGTGGGTGCAAAAATGTATATTTAGATAGTATTGAGTGCTTTCCCAACTGTGTTAGCAACAATCATGTGTAAGCCCGGGCCTTTTTTTTTTACAACGGTAGCTACGCCCCTGACGAGGGAAGCAATTTACCATATACATCCGTAGGCTAAACTGGAGAGTTTAAGGTGCCTCTTGCATGCATTTCTGATTTCAACCTCGGGAAATGATCAATACTGCACGTTTCCAAGTCACGTGGAATACAAGCAATATCATACGTATATTTACTGGCCGTATATATGTGATATTGCTGCGATGTGATTTTGCATTGTGACTAGTTTCTAAAGAACACCAATTTTCAGTTATCAGTACGAAAGATGATATATGGGCAGAAAACACCTCTCGGTTTGGTCAAATGAGCAAACAGCGCGTGTTTTTTGAAATGTAACATATAACCGATGCCGTGTATGGCAACAACATATGTTTGTAATATATTAAGTTTGCAATATGCTGGCCACTTATCATGGATTACACACTTCAGCGGAGGCACGTATGACTAGATAAGGAAACACAAGTATGCTTTGTACTTCAACACAATTTGTACCTGTACTGATAATTAATTCATTAATAATATAGTATAGGCATAAAAATTGCTGAAAAGATTTGACAGACAGATGGTCATTGATGTGATGCGATCGACAAGGCAGGAAACAGTTCGACCGTCAAACGGACTTCACTTATAAATAACCATCGTCAATAACAATATTGGAAAGTTTCTGCGTACATGTTTTTCCTGTTTCCACTAATTATCAGCAGTTTGTGACAAAACCCGCCACGTGATGCTAGAACAGAGCCATGCATCCAACAGGGGCCGATCCTGGTTTCAGTAACAGAGGGAGTCCATATTTTGGATATTGCTGAGTGCGGCGTAAAACTAAATTCACTCACTCACCATATTTTGGGCTTTGCTTGGAGAAGTTGGTAGCGATATGGTTCTTCGGAGTAGTGAGTCAACTGTTTGATTCGAAACTACTACCCAAATTATCCCGATCGACCAGTGCCCGAATCGTAAACGTTAGTACTACTCTGTCTCACAGTCCCAGAACCACGTTCCTTTCCGCTGAGTCCTTACTGCAATGACGCAGGTGTAGAATTTCCTCAGTTTCAGGATCACCATCTAACTGGGGGTCTTTTTAAAATTTAAATTGAGTTAGCAGTTTTTATCAGAACTTTATAAATTCGGGATTAAAGGTTATGTTTTCACTTACAGAAGCCATCCCAGATGGAAATGTAAGTCGCATTCTGTTGTCGACATGTTCAGGCAGACAGACTGTCAGGCGCGCACATGAACGTTCATGTATGAGTGAAATATCTCGAACGCGGTGTTAAACTCCACTTCACCTCACCTCACCTCTACCTGCAATATAAACAGTGCAGTGAGCATAGGGTCTTATCATAGGGTCTGATAGAAGTGTTTGAACACAGGGTCTGATCACAAGGTCTGAACGCAGGATTTGATCACTGGGTCTAAACACAGGGTCTGATCACTGTGTCTGATCACAGGATCTGATCGAAGGGTTTAAACACAGGGTCTGATCACTGTGTCTGATCACAGGATCTGATCGAAGGGGTTAAACACAGGGTCCGATCACTGTGTCTGATCACAGGATCTCATCGAAGGGTCTGATCACAGTGTCTGAACACAGGATCTGATCAAAGGGTCTAACGGCTGGGCCTGATCACAGGATCTAATCAAACAGTCTGATCACAGGGTCTAAACATGTGTGCCGTCTGATCACAGGTTTGATCATCACTGGATCTGAACATAGGGTATGAGCGTGGGACCGACTCTTCTATAAATTTACTATACCAGGGAGGTTATATCACCTATATAATCCCATCATGCTCTACTACCTAATGGCTATTGCTACAAGAACAGGACTAAATGCCCCACTTGTAATTTCAGATCAGGAAGCGTATCCGCCGGGTGTTCCGTACCAGCTGGAAGTGGTTCCGCCGGGGCTGCATTGGTTTGGCTCCAACAGTGGCGGGAATAGGACTCGCCTTCGGCCCCGTCATCAGGCCTGAGTCCAACTCCGCCACAGGCTACTCCGTGTATGGGGGCCGGGCGTAGTGGGGTCAAAGACATATTGGGCTCCAGCATATTGGTTCGGATTGACAGAGTGGTTTAGGTATAGGGTTGGGGTACAGACATGGCCATGTCTGAGTGGGACTGCGGCTATGGTCGAACATAGAGTTGAACTAAGGTCTTGTCAGTCGTAGAGCGTAAATCAGGCCATGGCGTGGTCGAGCATACTATGGAAATAAGGCCATGTCATCGTAGAACATGGAGGTGAACTGAGGCCATGCCAGGTCTGAGCATGGAGCGGGACTAGGGCCATGCCATTGTCGAACATGGAGTTGAACCATGCCATGTCTGATCGTGGAGCGGGACTAGGGCCATGCCATGGTTCAATATAGGGTGGAACTGAGTGCATGTTACGACGGACCATAGAGCGGTGGTCTTACTGAGGTCATGTAGCATATCATAGGGCGGTTGCCGACTGGTGCCGACGTCATGGTCGAGCACAGAAAGGAACACAGGCCTTGTCATGTCATTGAGGCTATCATCACTGGACTATCTGAATGTCAAGGAAATGGTGGACTTTACTGATGTTATAGATGCTGTAGTAGCAAGCAAATGCGATTCTTACATTTTTGACATTACCCTTCCAATATATTTGTCATGATTTATAATGAACTGATTGAAAGCAGTAATGAAGGGCTGTAGCCGTTTGTGTTTCTCACCCTCATTCTTTCATCTCTTGGTATCATCCACAGACCATTAGTAATAGCAATAGTCAGCTTATATGGCACTCATATCCAGGCACATAACAGCTCACGGCGCCATGTACATTACCATTCCTGGTTACTGTCCGGGGCAGACGTTTCGATTTCGTGTTAAACATGTAGTTTACAGTTACATAATTCAGTAATTCTTATCAGTATTTCCACTTACAAGATTGGCTGTGACGTGGCAAATGTGAATTCTGATATGGATTATATTTCTGCCAGGGCATCCTCAGGGTATACAGTAAGGTCCGACATCAGGTCATTTTTGAAAATATATTTTGTTGAATCACACACCAAACAAAACACCAAATTTCAATACATTTTGCAGTGTAATTGCAAAAAATAGGTTTCCATTGTCATTTGGAAGGAAACTGTCTCACTGCTAACTACACATACATCAAATGTCATTACATTTTGACAGGAAATAATAAATGAGTAACGGCTATAAACAAGTGTTTGCCACTGATATGGCAATGTCCCCCCTCCGCTAAAAATGGAATATCTATATTTACTACTTTATATTTTTGGGTCACATACAAGATGCCTGATATGACTGGTGTCTGTATAATCACCCAATGTAGGCTGTCAACATACTTGAAAACATTGGGTGCAATGTTTTATGAGATATCGCCTTTAAAAAGCGGTCAAAGTATCGTGGTGACCTTGAAGATAAGGTCAAGGTCACCCAAATAAACTGGTGTTTGCGTAATCCCCCAATGTAAACTGTCACCAAATTTGAAGACATTGGGTACAACAGTCCATGAGATATCGCGTTAACAAGAGTTAAAAATGTGAAAAGTGTCGTGGTGACCTTGAAGATAAGGTCAAGGTCACCCAAAATCAACTGGTGTCTGCGTAATCCCCCAATGTAGGCTGTCACCAAATTTGAAGACATTGGGTACAACAGTGCATGAGATATCGCGTTAACAAGAGTTTGAAAAGTGGTCAGTGTCGTGGTGACCTTGAAAATAAGGAGTCAAGGTCACCCAAATCCACTGGTGTCTGCGTAATCCCCAATGTAGGCTGTCACCAAATTTGAAGACACTGGGTACAACAGTGCATGAGATATCACGTTAACAAGAGTTTGAAAAGTGGTCAAAGTGTCGTGGTGACCTTGAAAATAAGGTCAAGGTCACCCAAATCGACTGAATGTCTGCGTAATCCCCAATGTAGGCTGTCACCAAATTTGAAGACATTGGGTACAATGATTCATGATATGGTGGCGTTAACAAGAGTTTGACTTAAATCAACTGGTGGCGTAATCACCCAGTAACGAAGCTGTCATTGTAAGTGACCTCATGAGGATATCCGCATTTGAAAGAAGTAGTCAGGTGTCGTGGTGACATGGTGAACATTGGATGTAAACATCTTGAAAACAAACCTGTCATCACTGGTAAGAACACAAGCATCTGAAGTTTCTGCCTCATTGGATCAAAGGTGTTTAGATGTTCATGCTGATGATGCACGATTGAAGCCAACCAAAGAGGCCAGGGCACTGATCCACTAAGATATACCTTCTATAGTGGGTTAACTCCCACACTTCGACATGAGCTTCTGAACACCATGGCTCTGTGAGAAATAGGGCCCAGGACATAAACTCACTTAATTTAGTCAGGTAAACCTACAATGTCTCTGGAAATTTCTACCCATTTCAAAGTATTTCTTTTATGTAAATAACGGCTATACAGATAAACACAACTAATACAATAGCTTTCAAATCTTTATTGTGATACCAGTAAACATTGCATAAATGAGACATAGCATACATGGTGGCTGCTGGAGATCACCATACACACTGTAGCTGTGACATAACCCTCACACGGTAGATCCCCTCCTCCCCCCTGATGATAATATCCCCTATCTCTAGCCATAGAATCCATCTGAAGCTGATGTCTCCTGCACACAGTGTACCCCTGCATCAGCCTGTTAAGTGATGCTGTAAATCCCTTGCTGTAAATGACAAGAATATCCACCCCTGGTACAACACCTATATAACACCCACCCCTTACCAACACAAAACTGCACATACTTCATCTACACACATTCACACAATGTATCACAAATAACACTTTGGAACAATACAAATCAGCCTTTCATAGAAGCTGTAATGATATTGGTGTCTTAGCAGTGGAGGGGTAATATCAAATGTCCATGAGCATACATGCAACACCAAAGGTTTTGAGACAAAAAGATGATGCCTTTCAGAAAGTGGTCAAAGTAACACATTATTTGGGGGGATTACACATTCCTAGTAAAGTACAAATTCTGGGGTTGAGTCCCATTTGTGATTCAAACCAACACTCAGGGTCAGTCTCCTAATTGCCAGCACAAAAAGACAGTGACCTAATCAACTCAGCTACCGAGGCTTCCATAGGATTGCTAACTTTGTGTGCTGGCGATTAGGTGTCCAACTGCCTGCACTGTGGGTTTTCAAAGTGTAATCCCAAATATAACATTTCTCACAGAAAGTGTCAGTATTTACTTTTGAGATCACCCCTCAATGTTTGTAACAATAATTGTTCCTCAACCATCAAGCAAAAAATATAATCATAATATTATATAAATATGGTCCCTATTACATATACAAACTCAACCATAAACAAAATTTGGTGTTATTAATGCCAAATGTTGGTCTGGCATGACACATTTTGGACTCACATGAACACTAATACTGGCAGTGGTAGTTCCATGACAAAATCCTAACTACACAACTCTTCTAACATTCAGTTCTAGACCCTTCACAATTACTGTACATCTACTGTATATCTAACATATCTAATACTTTACATTCAGATCTGCACCTTGCCATAAGATAAAAAATAATTGTCCTACAAATTTGCGAACAAATGTCACATCACTATGCTGGAGATTTGATTTGGTGTTTCAAGGTGATATACTACTCTATACAATTTAAGGGCCACCCAATTCTTCCAAAATACTACACTCAGTCTGTCAAGCCATGACATGATGAACTTAAGTAATACAAAAAAACCCAAGTGGTTCCTTAACCAACTGTTAACTGTTGAGAAATATATTTGCAAATTTAAAAATCCAGCTGATGTTTATTGAAGGCTGATTAGAATGGATGTTGCTGTTGATACAAACCATGCAGTAGTTGCACATATAAGCAGTATCCCTATATACCATACAGACATGGACACAAGGACACACAAGTGTAGCTACCTCCAGGGGTTTGTAAGGTAATTGGTCGAATGTGTAGAAAATTCAACTGCTTGATACACACAGTGTGAACAAAACCTTCCTGACAAGCTCACAAGCTTGGCAGTGTTTGTGTACCACTACAACACAGTGATGATTTTATACAGTAAAACCTTGTTAACTCAAACCCCTGTACATGTAACACTGACATGCCGAGGTGAGGACACCTGTCAGAGGACCCAGGGTGCCGTTCCACTAACCGATCTTATCTAAGATCAATCTTAGCAAGTTACGCCAATTTTACAATCGTCTTAGCTAAAAGTTACACCCGTTCCACTAACCGATTTTAGGCCGATTGTAGCCGGTCCCGATCTTACGATCCGATCCAAGCTTAGATCGAGACTCTTTCGTGCGAGCACAAAGGCACGAGTTATCTCCCTTTGCATAGTCTAGCAAATGATGGAAGTAGTTTACGAACCAACTGAGTGAGTGAGTGAGTTTAGATTTACGCCGCACTCAGCAATAGTCCAGCTATATGGCGGCGGTCTGTAAATAATCTAACTAAGATGCATAGCGTTCACTAACATGGCGTTCATGTTAGTTAACGCTTATGTATCTTAGCTATAAATAATCGAGTCTGGACCAGACAATCCAGTGATCAACAGCATGAGCATCGATCTGCGCAGTTGGGAACCGATGACATGTGTCAACCAAGTCAGCAAGCCTGACCACCCGATCCCGTTAGTGGCCTCTTCGACAAGCATGGGTTACTGAAGTTCAATATTCTAACCCGGCCTTCATTGGTATTTTTCCAACCAAGTGTAAACGTGGAGAAAAGGCTGGAGCAAAATATTAGGGTAGTGAGCACCTTGGTTTCAGGTGCAAGTCGTAGTGAACGCTGGGTATCAGGCATAATATAATAATAATAAATGCATATTTATAGTGCGCCTATTCCACATCCTGGGGCATGCTCAAAACGCCATGTACAGATAATTTACCCGAGAGCATTTACAGCCGAGATTGTAAGTAATAAACTGATAACAGGTTTTAAGTCTGGACTTTAAAAATGTCAATTGTGTCAGAGCTTTTAATATGTGCCTGAATAACACACGGTCTGCCTTTAGAATCTCCCACCAAATATGCCCAGTGAAATCAAACATATTTGTATCTTTTTGCTTCAGAACATTGTTCACTTCATGGCTGTCCCTATTCTTAACCATGACGTTGCAATATTGTTGTACAATACAAATGTGTTACACTGACTCGCTTGGTTGTGTTCCCATGACGACAGTGGTCAGACTGGCCTGACATTTGTAAGGCTTCAGTGCAGTGTTTGTTCACATCACAGAAATATACAAATTCATTTCATGGGGGATTTTAGGGGACGCTCACGGTGAAATGCTCGCTCTTATTTTTCACATAGAATAGCAAAGCCACCATTTTGGTTTCTCTATGATTGATTTTAGCTATCTTAAGTTGGTCATGAGCAACTTAGACTTTGAATCTTAACTTTACGATTGACTTAGGTAAGATTGGTTAGTGGAACGGTATGCCGATCGTAACGTCACGCTAAGATTGGGATTTTATGGGTTTACGATTGGCGTAGGGCTAAGATCGGTTAGTGGAACGGCACCCTTGTCATCACAGATTACACTTCAAGTTATGCAAAAGAGCCACACACAGCTTGTCTGACACTCCTGATATCTTGTGAAAGTTTCATTGGCCTAAGGACTGAGTGAGTGGGTGAGTTTAATTTTATGCTGCTCTCAGCAATATTCCAGCTATATCATGGCAGGGACACCAGAAATGGACTTCAAACATTGTACCTATGTGGGGAATCGAACCCATGTCTATGGCATGACGAGCGAACGCTTTAACCTCCAGGCTACCCCACTGCCCCAGCCTAAGGACTGAACTAATGAGGTCTTGCTGTTCCTTAAAACAATTTACTGGTATAATAAGATAATCCTGAATTTTTTGGGAAATATACAAGATAAACATGATGCAAATGCAGTGCAATGTATGATGATTTTGGCATCACAGAATGTGGGTAACCATAGTAACTGTTTTGTGTCATGACTAACAGAGAAGCACTAAGTCAACTTGACAACATTGTGTAAGTTGATGACATTGTTATTGCTGGAATTCGTCCATCTCATCTTTCAGACTCTTTCTGTACTCATAGTCCATGCAGAACAAGGTGACAGGAAATGAACAGGCTTCCATACTGAACAAATCCCCTGTAATATAACACAGAGTGAGTGACTGAGTTGGGTTTAATGCCGCTTTGAACTGTATTTCAGTTACTAGTAGAGCTTGATGTGGGAGGAAAGCCCAGAGTGATCTTAAATGCTTACCACTTTGTCGGAACACATAACAATGGTTATGGTGCTGAGAAACTGAGAAACATAATCAGGCCGTAACCAGAATTTCAATCCCCCTCAATCACAGGTTTCACACCTAAGTGAATTGCATCACCCTTAGATGACTGGGCCGGTTTCTGCCAATTTTACATAGATGTATAGAAATATCTCATAAGGGTATTGCAGTCACTGAAACTAATGGAATATGTTTCACACTTCAACTTTCTCGAAGGCTTCTGTTCAAGAAATACAATATATAACATACATCTGTGAGAATGACAATTAGTCACAAATACGTTCTTCAAGTACTGTTTCTAACGGATTGGGGTATAACGTTAAAGTAGGTAGAGAAGCCAAATCTTAAGCACATTTATATACTAGTTACTTATCAAACTCCAGGATATCCCCAGCACCACTTCTTTAACCACAATTATATGAGGAATGTAACATTTCCCATTGCAAGCATAAAACATATGTGAGCAACCCTTTGTTCCCTTCAATCTAAAACATAGGACCCCATTCAGCAAAGCAATACAGAAACACAGGCATAGACAAGGTAAATGGACAGTATTTTCACATGATCTTACTGCTATACACAATGGGTTACAATTACTGAGCTTAACTCCTTGTAGGGGGTGCACATTCACACACACACAATATACAAAAAGGGAATCAAACTGTAAAGACTGGAAGGGAACATATAAGTACAGAACTACTCAACATGTACATTCAGATTGGTGAGCGAGGATGTGAATGTTGAGTGGTTAGTTGATTGATAGCAAACACAGTGATCCCTGGGGACTCAGTTGCGACATGATTACGACTACTGTAGCTGGCACGAGCAATGAGCAATGTGTGAGAATGATGACCATGTTCCCAGATAGTGGTGACTGGAATGAAGGCAATTGCATTGTTGACACATGAGGACTATTACACTGCTGGCAGTGACGGACACCAGACTGGAATGATGCGAGTCTCGGTCCATTCTGTGTATGGATCAATTCTTCACCATCTTCTTAGGCAAAGTTTTACAAATGTATTTGGATGCTCCACAAATCACATCCACAAACACTTTCATTCTCTAGTGAGGTTTCCAGAATAGCCTCAGTTGAAAAGCATGCTTGACATTGTGAGACCTAGATATGCACTCCCGATCTTCCTATACTGGCCTATAGTCAGTCCTCGCTCATCTCAGGCATCAAGTACTCTCTGTTCTCATAGGTCCAGAAATCATTCAGGTCGATGAGGATACTTACAACTGTGTCCCCTTTGCCACTGGGAACATACAACATGTGGACAATTAGCAATGGTACTCCATAATTAAATGCTGAGTTCAGTCATGATATAACAAAACAAGAAGACACGGTCATCAATATCCCCCTCCACAGTGTTCTGTTCTTATTCTTGACAACTATTCATCCTTCCTACAAATAGCGATACATAAGCTGTTAAATGAGAAAATCTGTTCTCATTGGGGATAATGTGCACCAAGTCAAGAAACACATGACAAGGGCCATAACTCTGTAAATAATTGTAACACAGTTTCCAATTTTGAACTCCATCAAGGCATTCATGTCCTAAAAACACATACCAAATTTGGTTTCCCTATCTATAACAGCTTTTGAGAAAATCTGTCCCCATCATCTCAGACGGATGGACATGCTCCATACATTTGATCACCTATGATCTGTTAAAAAAGATCCTTGGAACAAAGAAAGAAATTCTGCCTACCAGTTGATGAGATCTTGTAGAGACAAGGCCAGAGGGTTGGCTGGTTTGACCATGTCAAACACCTCGTCCTTCACATCCTGGAAAGACACAGGTTCTTGACCATGAAGTTTCATCTGCTCCTGGATAGCCTGAAACAGATACACAACCCTATAGGTAGGTAATGGAGGGGATCCACACAAACATTCTACAGTGAGTGAGTGAGTGAGTGAGTGAGTGAGTGAGTGAGTGAGTGAGTGAGTGAGTGAGTGAGTGAGTGAGTGAGTGAGTGAGTGAGTGGTGAGTGAGTGAGTGAGTGAGTGAGTGAGTGGTGAGTGAGTAGAGTGAGTGAGTGAGTGTGAGTGAGTGAGTGAGTGATTATACAGTGAGTGAGTGAGTGAGTGAGTGACAGATACACAACCCTATAGGTAGGTAATGGAGGGATCCACACAAACATTATACAGAGTGAGGAGAGTGAGTGAGTGAGTGAGTGAGGTGAGTGTGAGTGAGTGAGTGAGTGAGTGAGTGAGTGAGTGAGAGTTCAATGACTTTAACGCCCATTAGCTCAAAGCGATGCAGGTGTGAGATGTTTACAACTTTGAGCCATGAGCATTGGCATGGTGTTTGCAAACACAAAAATATAATCAAAGCCAGTTGGAAAATGAACCCACAGTCGTAGGGTTCTGGCTTGTCCAAGGGACACAACTCTGCAGCACCTTTGATTACTGAGTTACTCTTGCCCCCAACAACATAAGCATGATTTCAATGTTTCAATGTTACTTGGGGATCAAAGGATGTAGAACATTGGCTAAAGGTCTTGAGTAGCCAAACCACCCATTAACTTCCAAAAGTGTAAGCTGATACGAGGTCTTTAAAGAGAATCACGACCTACCCTGAAGAAGTAGTTGAGAGAGAAGACATTAAGATTGCCCTTATGTTGCACATCAAGGATCCGGAAGAGGTAACGTAGAGCTTGAGGTTCTCGTCTGTTCTCCATGGCCAGCACAAAGTCCAGATATGTCTTGTAGTCCATCTCCCCCTCATACGTCAAACACTCCTGGAACACTCGGTCGAGGAACACGTCTGTCAGGGTCCCTGTACCATACCTGGATATAGCAATATCAGAACATCAGTAAGGGGTTTATAGGTCCTGTTGAATGCAGCTATGATGACCTTATGCAGAAGTGACCACTGACATTTATACATTTTCAAATCCTGCTGGAAGCTGGGCATCTCAGGTAAACAATCCACACATCTACCCTCATAAAACAAACACCAAGCAATAATACATCTCTAACAAGTAGGTATTGTTTTAGGGAACAGACATACATTCATTATTACATAATGGTTAAACACAGCAACAGTGAGTAAGACAAAATCAGGTGAGAGTACTACTACAACAATCACCTTGCTAGTTCCTCTTTGCTGAGCATCCCATTCCTGTCCTTGTCCAGGTTGAGATACTGCCCATATACCCGGAGTGCTGATGGTGCAGAGAACCAGTTGGATTCTTGCATGTCTTTGGATAGGTCCTCATCACGCAACTGTCAAAACAGGAATAACTACAACTCATATCTTTTCTTTAAATCAAAGATGACTGAAGACAATTTTTTAAGTTCAAGTTTTGATGCCTCACACTAATTTGAGCCCCTTTCTTTGGCCCTGAGGAAACCTGCAACATTTGAAAGAAACTTGGCACCATGTAAATATTAGGCCGTTGGAAGATCATTTGTGGCATTTTTTCTTCAAATCAAAGATGACTACCAGAAGACAATTTTTTTAAACTCCAACTTTGATTCCTTAAACAACTTGATCCGCTTTTAACATTAAAGTAACAAACACACACACACACACACACACACACACACACACACACACAAGATTTCAGCTGTCTCACAATTTGAGAGGAGAGCTGAAAAACTTACAATATTATATATAAGCATGCATATCAAATCAAACAATGATCAGACACTAATATATTGCGGGTGGACTGACATATAGAAACTTGATAGTATCATAAATATTGCTTACCTCTAACAGATCATCTAAGAAACTGCATGCAAGTATATCTTGTATTTTGATTTTGCCAGTTCGCAGAGGGTCCAGGGTCCAAAAAGAAGAATTTTCTCACAGCTGTACAGACATAGAATGAGTAAAAGGACTTTTCCAGACCATTCAACTGCAACAGATCACCATAAAACATTTTGTACTACCATGACATTTCATACTTATAACAACTAATTATACAATAAGTCATATTTTGAAGAAAAACTAACAAATGCTTAACAAAGACACAGTACAATTGAATAAGTACAAATTTATCAATAGCCCAGCACACCATGGCTGACATAAAACATGCTCCACATACAGTCAGCTCTCGTTAATCCGACACTTGTGGTTGCAGAGAAATATGTCAGATTAACGGAAATGTCGGATTAATGAAAATGTCGGATTAATGTATTTGTGTGAAAATATCAATGTTTACTAAATGTCATGATCGTCATACTGTTGCATGCATATCAGAAATGGTAGATCTAGTTATCTTCATCGTACGTAAAAATATTCACAGAAATAAAAAAATACTAACAATACATACTTGTTATCATTTATTAACATTCGTAGATGGCATAACATACATATATAATCACATAAGCGAACCGTTTCATATCTATTTCATGACCACATTGGCACAAAACTCACGTTTGTTTTTACCGCATATCAGCTGCCATTATGACCCGGATGTTGAATATGTTACAGTTTCCATACAACTAATTCCAAAATAACATGTGGACTTCTAATGTACAATCAGGCGTGTATCATAACATATATAATTTATAACTTGAAAAAGTCTTTGATGGTCATTAACATCAAACACGTCTAAGTGGTGTGTCAGAAATGTTTGCAAAGTGTTCAACGATGTTTTGGCCTCAGATAGCTTGAAGCATTGGAATCAGTCGTAGAGACGCTCAACCACTAAGCAGACTGCTTCAGGAGGTCAGATACATTCGCTTAGCAGGTGGGGTACTCGTGACAAACATCTTGTGATGAAAACTCATGTCGGTTGTAAACATTTTATACAGCTCGCTCTACTGTTATTTCTTGATTAAATCGTCTCAATTAATTATCCTGTGTTCCTAATTAACAAGTGTGATGTTCACCGACGCCGGTGTCAAGTAGCCAGTAAGGCACACGCTAATTACCACTCACGTGTGATTGTTTGTATACGGTCGGATCATCCGACCGGCTGTGTTGATTGTCAGATTTTTTAGATGTTTTTACAATAATCAGTTGCTAGATTGGTGTGTTGGAGTCGGAATGCGAGAATGTCGGATTAACGAGAGTAATTATCACTGTTTTAAATGGTTCCCTAATTTTTTGTCGGATTAACGTGATTGTCGGATTAATGAGTGTCGGAGTAACGAGATCTGACTGTATATCATCTATTTTAAGGAATCAGATGAGCTAGCATGTCACAAGGTTATCTATCACTTCTCCCATTACAACAGATCAATACAAGTAATCATGTAGGAATTATCTCCCTTACCTGTGGCAGTGTGGGTATCAGTTCCAATATATAGTTCTCTAAATCCTGGAAAATAAAACCATATCTTACAGACATTGTATAAAATTATATTAATATTGCTGTACTAGGGCAGTCAAAGATTGAGTCAGAATATTGGAATGTGTATACTAAGTACCAGTCAACACCGCCAGTGTCATGACGTGAAATACATACCGACTCTTTGAGATATCCCTGACCAGCCACATCGTAGAGTGACAGTCCTATCCGAGTCTGGTGGAGCCACACCTTCCTCATCACATAGTTAAAGAACTGCATGATGGAGATCCTCCCGAACGGATCAGACTGGAGGAGCTTGCTGAACACAGTTGCATGAAAAAATGGTCTGAAATAGAAACAAATATTAGTGACTACAAAGCTATCACTGGTTGTTCCATTTGACAAAAAGCAAACATACTGAAGCTGAGATACCAGAGAACCAAGACAAAATGTCATCACAAACATTTTGCCAAATTTTGATGGACAGCCTTTCTTTAAATATTAATGTATGTTTACTGTCAATACCTGAGATTAATATTCAGAAACAAAATGACATTGACCTAAAAATGTTAGATGCATCTAGATCAATGACATCACTGGTTGGAATTGTTGGATGCTCAATTAAACAAATCACATGAGAAATGAAACCAATTGGTTCAGATAGGAGTTGAAAGGTGAATCAACTTGGCACCAATATTGTCTTACTTGCACTTCAATCCTGCCTCCTTCCCGACCTGTAGGAAGTCCTCATAGCTGATCATCTGCTCCTCGCCCAGCAGTGGTGGTGTGTGGTGCTTGTCCAGGAGGAACCACAGTTTCTGTATACAATACATGTATGTGAGGTTTCAGTCAATGGTCCAGAGGTTTATTTATGCTAAATATTTTAGAGAAACAGGTCATGACAAAAGCTCATTTATCTCAGGTGAAATAGAAAGCAAGCAGAAATTTTAGTGTATATGTATTGGACAATCAACAGATATGAATCTGGTCATGTCATTATCATAGATTAATTGTCTAGACATGCTTTGATTGACACCACTAATTGAGACTGTTTAAACGCACCTGTAGCTCATCATTGTCCAGTAATTCCCTGCTTCTCCGTTGTAAAAAAACAGCCCTAAAAAGAAAATAAGTTGCTCATTAACAGGGGCGTAGCTACCATTATAAAAAAAGCCCGGGCTTACACATGATTGTTGCTAAAGGTTGGGCAAGCCCTCAATACTATCTAAATGTAAAGTTTTGCAACCTATTGGGCTTACATGAAGAAAATGGCTTGCTACGTGCCTGATTAATATGAAAAATGTTGAATTAAATGTTTGTTCTTGTATACCCCTGGGACAAACATTTTCAGAATTTTACACTACTAACCCACTTACCGGGACATATTCTTCCCTCCACAAATCAGAATATACAGTATACATATTGAAGGACACTCATGTCTATATGTTCCGCCCCTAGCCTTGGGACACCCATGTCTAGATGCCTTTACCCCTGGGACAGCCTTGTCAATATGTTCCACCTATACCCCCTGACACCCACGTCTATATGTTCCACCCCTAGTCTTGGGACACCCATGTCTATATGTTCCACCTATACCCTCTGACACCATGTCTATATGTCCCACATATACTCCTGGAATACCCTTGTCTATATGTTCTGCCTACACCCCTAGGACACCCTTGTCTATATGTTCTGCCTACATCCCTAGGACACCCTTGTCTATATGTTCTGCCTACACCCCTAGGACACCCTTGTCTATATGTTCTGCCTATACCCGTAGGACATGTTTGTTTACATGTTCTGCCTATACCCTTGGGACATCATGTGCACTTGTTCCGCCTTTACCCATGGGACGCCCATGTCAACACATGTATGTTAAACCACAATACAGACACTCACAACCAAATATCTACTTGCACTCTTTCAAGGGATAATCAACACTATTGATACTGCTGCAATTTACCTTGATTCTTCCCTTAGTTTTAGCAACAGGGGCTCATCTTCTGACGGCAACTGAAAAGATCACAAAGTGTTGATATTTACATTTATAACCATAATACTATTAATAACATAATCATATTTATAAGTATAAAAACTTATTTGTATCATTCTTTATTTGTGCACACTATACGAGTGTACAACCATTTACAATTACCTTAATTTACAATGTGTTTCCTTAATTCACCTGTCGCATTAGTGAACCTTTCCCTAGCTTTTCACAAACACTTCTTCTGTCCAGGTATCACCTGAAAAGCCTGAACAGGCTTATTCAATTGGCAATACCAATAAGCACCAAAACTGAGATTCACTCTATATGTGATGGATATGTGTCATTGAGAAATGAGCACATACCATCATTCAACAAATAATTGTAAATTTCATAAATTATTGACATCAAGTGATGTAATGGTTCTGATTATTTGTGAAAATTTTGTAAAGGCAGCTTTAAAACATACATCTGCTTTGGACAGATACTGTAAACGTATATATTTTCACAGGGTGCAATTTTCACGGAAAGTTCACAAAAGACCTGTTAGCGCAGTTGTTTTTTCGTGCATTTCAAACACCTGAGTGATGGTATCCATCACAAAGTTCTCACAACCAATAGACATGCAATGATCAAAGCTGGGTGCCATAATTGAATCTTGTTTACTACAACAATCAGAGAGAGGTGGGATTATACTTGTGTCAACATTGTGATTTGTGACTGACTTATCGCTTCGCGTGAGCGAACACACAAGAGAAGACCAAAGACGGCAAATTTGCAATTAAACATCGCTAGAACAGATTATTTACCTATTCAGTTCTAACTTGTTTTTGCTAGGCATTGCCTTATATGCAGGGATTATATACATTACCGTGTGTAATTGTCTGGTATACAGCACCGGAAATAGCAATCAGCTGTGCAGTGCACATGTTCCCCTACCTGTGATTTAGTTAAAACGTACCCGATAATATTCTGAGTTGAATTCTGATGCAGTGATCTTAAAAAAGATAGTATCTGAAACTATTGTTTTATAAAGAGAAATATATTCTAGTTTTGTGTCATTTTCATTGCAGGTTGTGCTCTATAAATGTAAAATATTTATATTCATAACTAAGGTTATGCGACAGCTTTTTGGTGTATTGCCGGATAGTTTTTATGCATGGAGCAATTTAACCTGTCACCGATGAGGTTTCTTGCGATCTCGCTATTTCCACTGCGAAAGCAGTTTGTTGACGTGATCGTCCAGCTACACTAATTACAGTGTTCACGAATAGTGTCTGACCCTGTGACAAATCCGGCAGATTTGCCAACGGTCCGATAGAAGTCTACAGTTCTGACTTATATTTCACAATGACTCTGACTTAAGTTGTTATATCTGACATGTGACAATTGTTTGCTGTTTATATATCTTGTGTTTGTTAATACTTTCAGTGCCAGTTATAAGATATGTTAAATCTGAAATGTATGTCTAATTTTATTCTATGGGTCCTGTGAATTTTCAATGGGTCAGACAGACATCTGAAACTTACAGGACCCAATGTCCTGTTACCTTGAAACACCATTCCTGAACACTGTAATTTTAATTTTTGGCAAAACAAAACATGTATGTGTATCCATTTACTGTCATAAACACTACATTTCGAGACATGAGTAGGCGCAATATGTTAGTGATTGCTGTGAAGTAAGTACATTGTGTTAAAGGAATTACCGGTAGGTGAACATCTATGGACTTCTTGACATTGTTTGATCATGTAATTTACATGGACAGTGAATAATTGCTTTGATGTTGTTATCTGAGAGAATAAACAAATTACATGTTGTTCTTGTATTTGTCATGACTTGACCATGAATAGTTCGACCATGAATAGTTCGCTTGGTTATGATTATTGGCTATGCTTACAATCTTCTTGCCCTTTACCTGCCAAATGTCAAATATGTATTAATCCCACATGAAAATAACTATGATTACAGTAATATCTTTAATAGTGTTCTTACATTTACTGACTGCCAAATGTCACATATGTATTCCAGCATATCACGGTGACTACTTTTGTACATGGGCTGATGGGGATACAAAACAGGTCTCTCTTATCCAATTTTGGGCAAGAAATACTTCTTGCAATCTACAGTTAGCCTGCAACATGTTATATGTAGGCAAGTAATGGGAAAAGCAAGAAGCCTTCCTCCTAACTGGCTTCTGTGATAACACATGGAAAAACAAAATACTATCAATCATGTGTGAATACTTTACCTTCACATACAGACTTGGTACATTTTTATAATTTTCACCAAGACCTTTCCATTCTTTGTACAGTTTGGTGAACTCTTCTATTTCTTCATTGTTATCTTTAGGGATGCTTCGAACTACAAACAAAATGTTTTAAGTTTACAGTCATGATTTTACATTAATGCTACTACCTGTTTCTTGATATTCTTCATATTCAAAAGATTAGTTAATCTTTCAGCTTGATGATATGAAATCTGTTTTCTGGGGAATATCAAACAAAATATTACATCAAATTGTGAACATAACTAAAAAATTCGAAATACCACTATTTGCTTATTCTAATGTTGTCAGAGTTGGTGATGATCTGATAATGTTTCTGAGAACATAATCACATTCACAAACTTTGAAATTATGAACCATATCAACAGTGTTGTACATGTGAGTTAATATTTTTCTGTCATCAATATCACAGCTGCCTATAGTGTTATTAATTCAGAAAAAAGGGATTTGATATCAAACACCACATGCCATCAGTATATGATATGCAATCATCCAAGACACACAGCCTGACCATTGATCCGGTTAGTCACAAGCTTAGAGTGCTTGAAGGTAACCACACCATGAGTCTGCATGGTCTGTTGTAGTTTATGTTTATGCAATTCAACATTATTGTACACAATAATTTCAAGAAACAATTGAATAAAAGCATGGATTTGTACCATTTTTATTCTACAACTTCAAATTCAAATGAAATGGCTTAAAGAAACAAAATAAATCTACATTTCTTCTAGTTCTAGGCTGTTTGATTACAACAGCTCCAATATTCAACTTACTTGTAGAGATCACCTGCCATGTGAAGTGTTGGTAACTAAAGAAGCTTAGATTACCAACCATCACTCATCCAGTTATCATGGTTGAATATACACTTTTGCTGAAGTTATTTTTGAATGCCTAGAAATAGACTTATTTCATTTTTAACATTTTAGAAAAAAGACAACTTTGCACATAACTTTTGGTCTACTGCATTTAGTAAAGTTCCAACAAAGATCCCTACATAGTTATCAAGCTGGAATGAATACAAATAAGAAATGAGAGGAATATATACATGACAGGTTGTTATAAAGAAACAAGGTAATAATAACCAAATAAAAGGTATTATATAAGGTAAACTGTCACAACAAAACCATGTATATATGCCTCTCTTTACTGGGTGTGCAGTCACTCCAGTTTAGTTAACAGTGTATAAATGTACCAAAAATGCAATAAATAAGACGTGTTATGCATAAAAATGTATGTTTTAGTGTGTGGAGTCACCAACTTCCAGAAGGCTAATCAAAAATAGTTATAAATATTTGATTCCACAAGCTGCTATGCGCATTTATTATCTCGAGGTCGCTAAAACTTCTAAATAGACCGAATGAATTGGATACGCTATGAGAAACTGTTCTTAATACACATTCGTTTCATGCAAACATTAGTGTTAGTTAACTTTCAAATCAAAACAAAAACCTTCGTGACAGACATTACGATATCATGCTGTGCATATGCATGCATGACAGTTTCGTTGAAAACAAAGCACCGTACCGCGTTTAGCACTTAGGAATTTTCGCAGGGTGTTGGACCAGTCCATGTCATGCATTTTATGCAACTTAGTCAGTGTCATTACTGACACATGTAGCTGTATTCGTATTTTTTTCCACCATCCGGTGTCAATGTTTTGAGTCAATCCTCCATCTTTGAAATTTTCTGATCCCGCTCGAACACGATTGGTCAAAAGAGTAAGAAGGACATCTAGCGGCAAGTCAAGACAGCAAAGGTAGATAAGCTCAGATGGGGTAACAATTTACATGTCATGACTTGATGAGACAATGGCACGCAAACCAAAATAAAGAATCTCTCCAGTGTCGTGTATCAGCAAATCGATGTTCAGACTGTCACTCAGACATACCTACATTTGTTCAATAAAAATATCATACATAGCACAATGTACAAGACAACCAAACGTGTTTCAAGACAGATACAGTGTACACCTATATAGCGCAAACCTATTGCCAATATCAAAAGTAGACAACATGTATGTGTAACTACTTCTTTATTTACTGTAATATACTGTAATAAAAATATACTGTAACCGTGACAACTCTGTCATCCCGCAACGTCTGAGAATTCCCTATCAGACAATATCAATATAACCATTGATATTGCCCTGAAGCGTGCGTCAATGTTAATCTATGGATTGTGAACAAACATGAACCAGCTTCTCAAATGCAGATGCAACATGTTTACCATGTTAGTCTGAAAGTTCTTTTTATATGAGAAACTGGAACGTCGAAAAGATGTGTCATTTTATCAATAAATAATGTGACACAGATATGTTCCTACGTTAGGGATAATCTACGTTTTACTAGAAACGAAAAATGTGAAAATGTACTTTAATGAAGTGAAGAAATGCACCTAGTATAAATGTCCATAATATATATCTTACAGCAATGCTTTACTATGGCAACATATCTTTAGACAGTAATCACCATGATCATCGGAAAGTGTTCTCAGTGATATAGGCAAGCAGGACAGGGGCAGGCCGAGATAAATGCACTGATAGTAAAGGTTTGTCCGAGTGTTCTTCAAGTTTGCATCGTGGCACCGAAAGCCCATGAGGATCCGTGATGGAACTGGTTCCGATGCAGACGGCATGGGACGATGTTCATGATATACTCTAAGGCAGAAGTTATTGTGGCACACAAACAACACACAGTATCAGTGTCAAACATTTACTGCCGCGAAAGAAATGTTATTACATGGAAAGACAAATGTTTCAAGGCATGGTAACGATCAATAGTCCATAAGTACAGCGCATCTGGCGTATGGACATGAGCCACAACATAAGAGGGTGGTGTGTGTGTGTGTGTGTGTGTGTGTTCACATGCAAGTTCACATGGCCAGCAGCGAGTGGGTCCACCTTGTGCATTGATGCAGGCATGACACCTTCGCCTCACCGAGGCCACTAAATGTCGATGAAAGCACTGGGGAAGAACATTCCACACAAGAGGAATGATTCGTTATTGGAGGATTCAGACTACGTCGTAAACCTCGCTCCATTCCATCCCAGACGTGTTCAATGGATGACAAATCAGGGGATCTTGCCGGCCTCCCTAACACATTAACATTGTTCTGATTAAGATTCTGCTGTACAACTCAAGCAACGTGTGGTCAGGCGTTATTGTATTGAAACGTCACTCCAGAGGCGTTCTGTTGCAAAAACGGATAAGCGGTCATTTGCCAAGTCTCGTCTCGGTACCTCAGAGCGTTAAAGATCCTCTGTCACAATCATTGGCGTCCTTGCTGTAGCTGTTATCACACCCCAGACCATAACGCCCCCACCTCCCAAACCATCACCTTCCAGAACGCTGACACCTGCACGTCCTACCGTCAGCTCAGCGAAGGAGTCAGATATAACTGTTAGCTCCTGGAGACCTGCATGGGTTCGATTCCCCGCATGCGTACAATTTGTGAAGATCACTTCCGTCATACCCTTCAATGTATTTCAGGATTATTGCTAAAAGGGTGTACATCCACAATCACTAAATTTCTGCTGTTGGTCGAAGCAGGGTAGAGCGTTTCGTTCCATTTCAAGATTATATGCCATTCTGATACAATTCTTGTCAAAACATCGTGTATGTTACTCATCATTGCCACTCATTTAGCCAGTTTAGCTACTACCAATAAAGTTTTACAAACGGTACATGGAATACTAATGAAAGTTGAGATTAATTGTAAACCTTCAAAATTTCCGTTACAGCCAGGTGTGGCAGAAATAAGCTTCTCAAATTATGACTCAAGCTTGACTTCGTGATATTTGATGTCACTGTGTGATAACTGCACATAGCAACAGGGACCCCCTTGGTCTTCGTTTCTATGTTGTCAACAAACATCAGCTGTCTGCCCATAGCAACGTACCAGGAAGAGAGAACTATGCCTTCATTTATGGTTGTCCCACTATTTTATTTTGCGTCCGGTGTGGTCCACATATCTTAAATGCATGCCAGCTGCGTGTATACGTGTGAGTTTAGTTTTACGCCGCTTTTAGCAATATTTCAGTAAGGGGCTTCACACATTGTAACCATGTGGGGGATGAACGCTTTAACCACTGGGCTACCCCGCCGCCCCTGCATGTATACGATCTTGAGTAGCCTATATGTCGATGAAACCAGTCGCACCAACCGGAGACTAACGGGATCGGGTGGTCAGCCTCGCTGACGTGGTCGACACGTCATCGTATCCCAAATGCGTAGACTGATGCTCATGCTGTTGATCACTGAATTGTCTGTTCCAGATTCCATTATTTACAGACCGCCGCCACATATAATAGTTGGAATATTGCTGAGTGGGGCGTTAAACATCAAACAAATCCACCACTAGTACCAGCCTCGGATGCAGCTATCATAAGCTAAATCCGAGGGGAATTCCATAAAGGAAAGATCCCCAATAACCGGGGAGGCGACTAAATGGATTGGTTGAGATGAAGGCTCGGAGAATTGGTTGACAGCGTGTCATCAAGTACCCAGACAGCGTGACATTTCTTAAAATAGGTATGGCACACATGTAGAAAGCCCGATAATTTAAAAATCCACATAGCTTGAACACGCAAAACAGACAAAGAATACAGCTATATTTAAATTTGAAACACAACTGGGAGATTTGGGTGCTATTCTGTTCACAGTATTTAAGAACTATTGATGCCACTGTGATAACCCCCATTGTCCCTAGTACACGCTACGACAGCTCACATTGACACCTGCACCATCCTGATAAGATAAATGTAACAGAATTTAATCGAACTCAGCCGATGTTGCATATGGTTGAAGTTTTCTCTGGCGTGTACACTCCTAGTCGAGAGCGGGTTCAATACGGGTAGATCGTTTCGTTAGAGGCGGGTGAGTATGTTGTCCATGACGACGTCAGCATGGGGCGACATAATTAAACGCACTGTGTCATCCTGAAAGGCCCGTGGTTGTCAAAACGATCCTCACCCTGGTCACGATGACACAGGTCACATAGCTAATGAGATCTTTTGTCCCACATTTGGTACAGTGAACAGGTTTTAACCAAGTGTTGCCATGGCGATGCTCGAATTTTCAGCAATATGAAACATGCGAATTATTTGGAAATTACGGTAGTTAGGAAATACAGTGGTATGTCAACATGGACATAGGTGTGCTGCCTCCATCCTGCTTTGTATGTCACATGGTTACATTGTTGTGCTCATGTCAATCACTGGATAGTCTGGTCCAGATTCACTTATTTACAGACTGCCGTCACATAGCTGGAAAATTGCTGAGAGCAGCATTAAACAACCAACCAACCAACCAACAAACACACACTAATCCGCAAAAGAAAACTATACCAATTTACATCCTTATGTGGTTTTGTTAAGATTTTACAAGTGCTACAAATAGTTTCACGCCCGGGCAAGCAAAGGAGGTAGTCAATTTGAACAAATGATATATACAGACAACTGGCTTACCACCAATTCTCAAAATATCAGAAACAGTCTGAACAGCCCTAATTAAGAAGTTAGATCTCTATTGAGTTACTGAACTGCCATCGTCATCAACAGACCATCAGGTTCTGATGAAGTCTCCAGAAATGACTTAGCAGCGTTGAAGTTGAACATTGATCTGCCAATCCAATAGGATGATCACTGGAGTGCTTATGTCCAGGCAAACAGTGGACACTATACAGGTACAAGGTGAGGTGAGGTGAAATTGGGTTTTACGTTGTACTTGAGAATATTTCGCTCATATGACGATGTGCATGCGGGTGTATGTGTATGTGTATGTGCGGCTGCTTGTACTAGCCCAGACTTAACCTGGTTTTATAGTGCTAGCCCACTGAGATACCATGCCCCAGTGAAGCATGAAGACCCCACTCAGACACATTATACTGACTCCGAGCCGACCAGTCCTTGTTGTACCCATTAATGCCGAGCGCCAGGCAGGGACCAACAAGTACCATATTTTAACGTCATTTGGTATTACGCGGTCGGGGATCGAACCCACGACCTTCCCCTCTCCGGGCGGACGCTCTAACCACTACACCACGGAGGCGGTCACAGGTACAAAGAATGCTTAGAAATAAATTAAGTAAACTCAAATCAAGATTTTCAAGCTGATATTTATTAAGCACTTTTCAACACGTTGTACAAGATGTATGTTTCATGACTGGGCATCAAGTAAGAAAGCTCTTTATTTCCATACTCTTTCTTATGATGATCTTACTCTAAATTGCAAAATCAAATCAAGTAAGCATTACTTTCAGTTCTTTTACAACATTGTGAAATAGATACCACTTTATTCTGTTGAATGGGTTTCTTTTGAAACAATACATAAGCGTTCAAGACGTCTGTAATATTCACATGTATTTCAAAACAGGTACATCTGATACGTTTGTTGTAAGGTATCACTTAGAAGATAATCACAAATAGCTACAATAATACACATTCATTTGTATAGCGCAGTGTACACATCTGTGTTCTGTGTGAGCGCATTTTATGCTGTCTGACTGAGTTTGGTTTCTGTGTGAGCAATATCCACGGCATGGGGACACATTTTATGCTGATAATATTTATTGAATATATATATATTAATAATAAATTCTAACCTGTAAAAATTCTAACCTGTAAATAATAACAATAGGAAGGAAGATGGATCTCAGTTGGGAAATGAGCTGTTAAAACATTTACATTGTTCTTCTTGAAGACAGT